TTTGACTGTGGAATATTAATATTAGAGAAGTTTCAACTTTTTTGCTATTTCTTCTGGTATCTCTTTGCATATTTTTACTAAAACGACTGAAATGTTCATAAATGGTAACATAAAAGGCAGATTTACTAATAATACATAAGTTTAATCCATAAGGATAAAGCGTTCTTAACTGCAAAACATATAGATTCCTTAAAAAGGCGGCAAAAGTGCAGAATCGTCCACTGCTTGGCGCGTTTTTAAGAATTGCACATACTCGGTATCCATGTACACATCGGCCTATTTTCACTTAAAAAAATTCCCAGAATTGCACAAAAATGGCATTGTGCACTCCCTTGACTTTATCCGTGTACACACCTATTTTCATTTAAAAAGTCAAAGAAAATTGACAAAAATCAAATTCTTCTTACTCTTGTAAAAAGCGTCAAACAATTAAGTGGACGATTCTACATTTTAACCCAAAAGTCTATTTTTAAGATTAGGTACTATATCTAAAATTTTGATAGTAATATTATAAATGTCGCATATTTTTAAATGTTCAAGTTCTTTGGTAAAGTTAAATTCTTTGTTGCCTTCATAGGAGTATTTGAAATTTATTTATAATAATAATCAAAAATTATGAATTTCAAAATTTTTGGTCTTTGTGAAACATTAGTTCTAAATTTCTTACTTTATATATTATATATATATACATATATATACCCTTTCTGTTACTCGTTTATGAGCTCAGTTTTTTTTAATCTTATATGTTGGTAAATTGCGCATATTTTGCTTAAAAAATTATTGAATTATGTTGTTCTTATCTTCCGATTAAGGTTTTTATGATTTTAGTTAATCTGCACGCAATATTTGCAGAATTATCAAAAATTTAAAAGCTGTTTCAGTGCAGCTAAGCCTAGGTTTTTTTTATCATAGCAGCAATATTTGTTTACATTTGAAACTTAGCAGAACAGTGAATTAAATGTTGCTGCACTGTCAGTGTCTTTTTGCCGAGTAGGACCAAAGGGAAACTTTTAGTTTTGTGTAAAGAAAAATCTACCTTTTTGCCTGCTGCCCAAAATGCTTAAATTTAATTTGGGATATTTTGAGTTTTTATGCATTTTTACCTTGCCGCGAAGTGAGAGCTGAATTAATTGAATGAGAAATATATCTCTAATGAAATTTGAGAAAATAAATGTTTCCTATTAGTAGGCAAATCTTGTCGCCAGTCTGTCTGGGACAGAGCAGAATGTTGACAAATAACGCATGCGCATTAGGTAAGCGGCGCTGAATCGTCTGTGAAAAACTGTTTTTTTTTTTTTTTTAAATTTGTTTAATTTCTTTTATACATCGTTTTAGATTTATTATAGTATTTGAATAGAACATGTGGCAATGATTAGATAATTCTTCAGATGATATAATTTTTGTGCTTTCTGAGTTATAAAATGAATGAGTGTAACGCTGTTAAGAGAACCTAGCGCCAGAGTGTCGCTATGGTAAATAACTATAGTGAATTTTAAAGAGTGCATTTATTCTATTGTGGTTTATCCGCTATCGACGAAGTAGAGATTCAATTCAATAAGTTTAAATGAAATGCAGGAAAAATGTTTAATATATAGTTTAATATTCCGTACAAGAATGACATGTGGTGTACACATTAGACTCTTTTCCCTTACGTTTTTGTAAGCCTCGTGTAATACTTTGTAGTGCATGAGGAAATATATTTTTTCCTCAATTAAAAAAAAAAGCAAGTCTAATAAGTACTTTTGTAAATTTCTGTAGATATTTAAATTCATTTGGTCGCATTTTTGCTTCTGTATTGTATTGTAATTTTATGTATCGTTTTGTTTAATTATTTATTCACTTGTTTCTCCTAGGGTAATAATTTTAGATTTATTTTGTGTATAATTGAAATTTGGCCTCCATATTTGTTCTATAATTGTGTATTCCTTGTACAGTATTATTGATATTTCAATTCGAAGGAGTCCAATAACGTTTGAATTAAGAAAGCAGCTAAATTAGAAGGTGAAATATAAACAAACTAAAAAGACCGGCGGTCATATGAAATGACCGCTATTCTAGATATTATAAATTGTAATTAAAATGATTTGTGCAAAGGTGATGTCTTCTAATTCAAAGTGAATTACCGAGGCCAGGCGGTGAGAACGCCCCTTTTCTTACTGCCCCACGGGGTTTCCCCCTTCTACTTGCTTAATTGCTTAGAGTGCAATGAAGGAAACTATTGGTGGTACATTTCTTAAGAGCCACCGCTAGCTCAATAAATAAAGGTGATTTAAATAATAAAATGTTGATTCACATGTCAAAGATGTCTTTGTACACAACATTTCTTGTGTAGATCTTTCCATCATTTTTAAGCTCGCCTTGCAGAGGACCGTCAATTATGTTTAATTTTACGTCCGTTCTTTCACGAACTCTTGAACTGACCGTATCCAAATGCAGGCTCAGGTAAAAAATGCCAACACGCTTAAGCGTTTGGCACTGAGACTTATGGATGGTCATAGCAAAGGCAGGTTTTACAGGAAATTGTCTACTTCTCAATTGAAACGGAAACCCTGTGCCGTGGCAACTTCACCCCATAAACTATCGGCGACAAACAGACACTTAAGCCGCATATAATATTTATTTATTTATTTCATTTTATTTGTTTTTTCATCGTTGCCGATTTTTGCCGATTGCACATTTCCGAATTCTATTATATATAGATGTTAAATTTATTTATTAAATGTTAAATGGACGTGCTCTTGTATTTTTAATTTTTCCGGCTTAGCTTTCTCATAATATTCGTCACGCACTCCACTGCATGGGGAATAAAACAATTTACAGTTACGCAAGCAACCAATAAACTATCGGTGACAAATACTTAAACCGCATATATATATAGGATATGCATCAATTAAGTCTTAGAGAAGTTTAAGTAGCCAAAGTGGTGATTTATTGTCAATCTGGCGACTTTCTGGAAGATATGGAAGAATGCATTTTCAAACCTCAACGACCAGTGTTTTACGAAGCTCCCAGAAATCCGTGCAAAATGAAATAAATGCGGTTCCGAGTGTAAGGACGAGTTGGTTGTTAATCAGCTTTAAGACTTTGAGGTTCAACGACAGTTAGCGAAATGAAATACATTCCGCAAGAAAAGAAGAGGCAGAATGATTTTGTTTGTTTACTTTAGCTGTGCATTAAGTCACGTGATCTCTGAGGCAATTTGATTGTTTAATTACATTAGCTATACATAAGTCACATGATCTCTGATGTCATCGGAATGTATCTCATTGCATGTTAGAGTTTTACTTTGAGAATGATTTTGGAAATTTACTATATTTCTCGTTCACTAAGGAGGATTTGCTTAATATTTGTGCCTTTCTTGCCTAGCATATTTTGCTGTGTGTATATCAGTTTTTTCCGCTCATTTGAAGTGATTATTTAATTTCAAATTCGATTCGATTTTAACTTCGAATCCATGGCTCGCAATAGTACTAAACTATTGAACTTAATCTTTTGATGCTTATTCAAAGTTTTAATTTTCATAAGACTGTACGAAAATCTACGAAACGATATTTTAATGCTGATTGGGTAGTTTGCAGTTAAGAGAATAATTTAACACCACACCTTAAAGCCTTTAAAAATATTTGTTATCTAATTCATATGTTTCGATCTGAAGGAAGAAAGATACATTTTTAATCATTAGCACAAACAAAAGAATAAGAATTTGAACTAGTTGAGCATGATTATCTCAACGTTAACCAGTATTTTCTTAAACATTTGAGTACAACATAACAGAAATCACTAAAAGAAAATACTTTTCCTATAAAAAAAGTTTTTAAGGGAGGTTTTAACAACGTCGATGATAACAGTGCTCTGAGAACGGAAATGTATGACGTAAGCGGGTATTGAGTCGAGAGAGAAAAGATAAATTTGAAAGTAAAAGTTATTAATAAATTAAAATTAAAGTTATATCTGTACTATAGCAATGTGCACGAGATCTTACAGAATTGCTTTTCCAGCGTGTCTAGGAGTTTAAATGTAGGTTGCTGTCGGATTACACGACTCAAACTTTACGACAGCTCAGTAAAATTCTGTGTTACGAATGGGATCAAGAGCGAAAACTGTTACAGCTGATTTGTTCATCGTAGTTAGCGCGTTAAACCTCTTCTAATCGGTGGAAGAGAACTGACATGTAAAACTAAAATATTAAAAACCTTGAATTTCACCGTAAGATTCTGAGGTACGATTCATTTGCCAAATAACTGTATGCTGTAACTACATTCTCTTCCGTTAAAATCACTAACATGGCCTCGAACTTAAAATGTTTTAATTCTCTGTTGCTGAATATAAATAAGTCAAAAAATTAAGTACGGTAAAAAATTGAGAAAATTTAATTACTGCAAAATTACTTAGCAAATTTCATTTCAAATTCAGTGTTTCAGATTGAAAGACTTGAAACTAACACGAAATAGTTCACTTAATAATCTTGATACACTTTCTGTGTATTAATTGAGTTTTAACTGAATACTGTTGTTACTTTCCGAATATTTCTCAAGCTCTTTATTTTGAATTTTTCTTGTGATAAAAAATTATAACGTTAAAATTTATTAAGAATTATTTAAGATAAATTATCAATCAGGAAATATTGTCTAATATTACCACTTTTTTATTAAATATAATAGCTAAAGATATTAATTATTATGATTTAATTCCCAAATTAATAAAAAGGGAAGTTAGAAAAGCGGAGCTAAAATAGTTATAGGCATCTATTTATAAATACTTGAAAATAATTTTACATAATTTAATTAATGAGAAATGTTATTTATAACCAGTTTTTATATCGCATTTGTTTAATTATTACTAGTGTCCATTAAGAGACTGCAAAATAAAATCTTAAAAAAAGAGCACATATTTATGAAAAACGTATTCGTCATTCATTTTGAAAAAAAGAAAATGTGGGTGTAATGAATGCTTAAAATAAATGAGTGTCTAAATAAATGAATAACGAGAAATTAGCTCACTTTGTGGCAATGAGCACGAACACTGTACAACCGGTACCTAATATCACAGTAATACAGCAAGAGATCTTGAGAATAACAAGCATGCACCTGGAATCCTACAGAATTAGAAAAGTAATTAGGAAAACCTCAGTATTAACATAATTCTGAAAATCAGTGAATCTGAGATGTTATTTTAATGAACATTAGATATTATGAGATGTTATCTTAATGAACATTAGAACTTAGAAAATAAAGTATGGATAATTATTGAAAATATTTGGTTTTTTATATAATTTTTGTATAAATGCTGAAATTTGTATGAAGTCTAATTAATGTAATCAGAGTAATTGAGAAAATTCGGAAAATGAAAGCATAGGGTATTTAAAAAATATTGCATCATTAACTACTTCTAGAATGATTGGTGGTAGACCGTTGAAGCTGGCTTAAAAAACGAAGAAAGTGTGTTCTCAGATTAAGGTAATTTTGATCACTTGACACCTTTGCATTAAGAAATTCTCAGAACGTAAACTTTTACACTGGCCCAATAGAAAAAAGAAGTGTGAAGAAGTAAAGTGTTTTCAACAGCCGAATCTTGGCTTATGGCAAATAATTCTATTCTCCTAAGAGCGAAGGTGCTTCTGAGAAGATGTTTGATGTCGTGCAATTCCTATTACCAGAGGATACCAGGCATCGTCTATTGCATTTAAAGTCCATCATCTTCACTGGACAACCATACTGCGAATATTCTCTTCCTCTAGAAATCATAGACCATTTAACTTCTATTTATATTTATTTATTTATCACCACTGAGCAGGCTTCTGATCTAACGTGTATACTAAACAGAATAGTGCCTGCTCAGAAGGAGATCAAGTACAATCTAGCAGTCGCCACTATCAGGATAGGACTGTACATATTTTTTAACAAAATCAGACAGTACCTACAGTAGCAGTATTTCAAAACCAAAGACAACTTGCATTCATATGCTACATATAATTCAGGATTATAAGTTGGTACTTAATATAATAAAAAGAAAGTTGCTGATTAAATTTTACAAATATATAAATAACATAATAAAAAAATAAATTAAGGGAAAATATAAAAACTAAAATAAGTACATAAAAAGTAATATGAATAAAATAAATAAATATATGCAAATAAATAAATATATGCAAATAAATAAACGTAAATATAAATAAAAAATAAATAAATGAATGTATAAAAAAGATTTATACAAAGATTATACAACGGTTACTTAGCTATTTGATGAGTATGAATGTCGCTATCGTATGAGTACTTAACTAGTTGATGATTGTGAATATCTTTCTTAACATGAGTCCTGAACATGACCTAAACATGAGCCCTGAGGGCATCCTCGATGCAATTTTTGTGCAACAATTCCAGAGTCTAGAGTAACTTGAATAGAGCGGTCTGGGAGATAGCTTCTTGTGAGGTCTACGAGATCGCCTGGACACCATAGTGACCAAGGCATCAAGGATGTCTGGCCACCACAGATAGACAAAGGCTCCTTGAATATCTAAGCTAATAATGAGAGAGTGAAAATTCTTTTCTCTGTTGGCTCGAATAACTGAAAGAAGACTCGAAATTGCCTGTTCTGTTTGTTGATTTGCCTCTAAGAAAACCAAATTGCGAGGGGTCCAGAACATTATTATTACGAAATAAGAAGTACTGTAATCTACTCAGGATAGCGCGTTCCAGGAGTTTCCCAAAAGCTGGCAAAAGACATATAGGACGATAAGAAGATGCTTGGACAGAATCCTCGCCTTTCTTGTGAAATAGTACCATTTCTGCTCTTTTTGTATGTAAAGGGAAGTGTCGGTGTCTCCAACAAGTATTTATAAATAATACAATAAGGTTCGGAGCAATTTTAAAAAGCATTTGAATGATAGCATTGTCTATGCTATCGAGCCCTGGGGCCTTTTTCGGCTTAAGGTGTTTTATTATTTTTGCCAATTCAGATTTATTTGGAGGAGGTTCGGTAGACTGCCTATGTGAATCATTAGTTATTAAATTTGGCTGTTAGGTTTGATTGCTGTGCTGCGTCATCAGCTGGTGGATCATTCTTGAAAAGGGAAGAAAGAACGAATTTTATTGTATCTGTTGGTGACTAAGCCATTGGGAGTATTTCTGCTGGTAGAACTGTGGGCCTGAAGATCTTATCTGTGGTGATTTTGAAAGCTGTCCCGTAAGTGTCCACTGTTTTTGTACAAAATTGCAGCCAGGAATTTTGCTTGGCAGATGCAATTTTTCGTTTAAAAGCAGCTTGTGATTCTTTATAGTTAACAAATAGGTCACGACGAATAGCAGGATCAGTTGTTGCTTGTAACAACTGACCCTGCTAACCTCTATGTATCCTGTATCCTATGTATCCTCTACGTAGCCTCTATGTATGTAAGCTCTATGAAGCCTCTATGTAGCATTTAACCTTTATGTAGCCTCTCGTTACTACTATCCATAAAAATAAAATCCTTTAAAAAGCTCTCCGATAAAGGCCTCGCATAAGATTCTAAAACCTTATCGCCATGTCTTCGCACGGCCATAACGCCGTATCAATGTGTGGGCCGCATACGGCCATAATGTAGCATTTAAATTTATAAGGCCATAACACCGCGTCGCATGAATTGATATGCCTGCGTCCATTTCATGCCTCTCCACCCAAAAAATCCACTTCCATCAAAGTGGCTGATTTCCTTTAAGTGAAAAACTTTCTTGAGTTCCAGAAGACTTATAGAGAAACGCTCTGCGTTGAATCTTGACTCATGAATGAAGAGGATGTAGTCCCAACCTATCTACGTTCAATAATTGTCTGCTTCGCTCCACATAAACAGACTTTCTTCTACCATCTCTTGAGAGGAAGCGTACCCCTGATCCCAAGCGTAAAGCTTCTGCACTGTTAGGTGTCTATGCACAGCTCGCATGAAAATTATTCCTCCAGACGCAACAGCGAAATCACGAGAAGTCTCTCTAGCTGTTATCTACATATGGCAACGTGCATTTAATGCCGGCTTTCGATCCTCTATAGCTGTCGTGGCTCTTAGATGGCCATGCCTGGGTCTTCTGATGCCGCTGCACATGATTTGGGATGGTGCCATAACTTGGATATGACTATTCCAGACATCTGTAATCATCAAACGGTTTTCGTGTGAGATTGCTCAACTTGAAGCCTACCTATGGCTCTCCACCTCAATGCATTGCCTAAACGATTGCGCCTGACTCATTTTAACCAAATTTTATAATTTTGAGACTGACTCATTTTAACCAAAATCAGTCAGTCTTGTTATTTTGCTTTCACAAAACATAATTCTATAAATGACTTTCAGAAATTAGGTTCGAAAGTTGCTTTCTTTCCTATTTTCTCTGAAAACGTATTCTCTTAGCCTTTAAATTGTACTAAATGCTTCGTTCCATTTACCTTTACAAAATTATATAAATGGTATTAGTTTTTAAAGTATTAATGACAGCTGTGTTTGTAACTTTAAATTTGAGTATCATTATATTTTGGATAACTACACAATATTTCGAAATTAAAGTTTAACAGTTTTTTTAAATTGAATAAAAATTTATTTTGAATCGAATGAAGTAGTATTATCAATGTATGAAACTAAATGAAAAAATGTTTTCAAAAACTGGAATAATTCAGTTACATACATTTATCAATAACAGAAGAAATGTCATTCAAGTAATGTACGTTCTCTCTTACGCAGTTATGTTTTACCAAAAGAAATTCAGAATTCCTCTTGCATCATAAATTAAGCCCTAATATCGTAGAATATGAGTTTTCTGTATTGCACTGTTGCTCAATTATTCCACGGAGACCAAGCAGAACTGCACATTGAGTTTTGAACTACTATTCGGGCTACGCTTCCGATGGCAAATTTCTAAACGGTATCGTTAATATTAGGTTAAACGCACCAGGGTGCTACTTTGGTAGGCGTATGCACGGGTTTTTGGCGAATGTTTTAGCGCAATTGTGGGCACGATGGCACCCATTGCTGGAGCATTGATTTATGGTAACTCATAATTCGTATACTGAGGCGTTTGACTTCCTTTTATTTTTTTAAATACTTCGTTTTAAATATTATTTATGGCTGTTAAATATTAAAAATCAATTAAATTTTGCCCTTTTATTTGAAAACAGTTTTTTAGCCCAAAGGGGTAATTTACTCAGAAGTGCTATTAATTTCGTTTTGGCATTTTGCGTTGATTCACTATAAACGGCGAATTATTTTTGAAACTGTTGCCACCAAATATTAGAGCCCTATATTACATTTAAATAAATTAAATAATGAAGAATCTGCATAAATGTATGTATGTTTCTCGAATTATGATAAAACAACAGTACCTAGAGCCATCAAATTTTGAATAACGTGCATCTCCACCCGAATATGGACATCTGAAAGCCCAAATTTGGAATTTGTTTTATTATCTATTTCATATTTTGTAAAATATTTATGAGTTTTTTTTTATTAAGAAACTCAACGATTTCAAAGCGAGCAATGGCAACACTGTACGAGAAAACAAAATATCAATAACGCGCGAGACTGTGTATCGGTAATTCTTAAGGATATTCTCTTTTAAATGTTTTGTTATATTGCTGCTGAATTGAATTTTATGGTTGAAGTGCAAAGAACGTGATATTTAGTAAATAAAAGTAACACACAAAACGTTAAACAAAAACGCGCCTTTCGGCGTGATTATAAAACCTGAAAGCTTTCAGATTTTTTTTTATTATTTATGTTATTTAAATAACTTCAATGCTGTTGAATTTATGGTGTAATAAATATTAGCAGAGGAGCGCCGTGACGTATGACGTAAGTAGCTAATTGCTTTTAATTGGTTAGTTTATTGGCTCGTTGACTGGTTGTAGAATATTTGTGCATTACCACGCTATTTTTAGAGATTTTATTCTGTTAATATTCACACTGCGAATTTTTTTCTTTATTTTTACAAATTTTTTATTATTTTAATTTTTGTGATCCATTAATTTGGCTCTAAATTATGTTATCTAATTAAAAAATTTTGTTTGTTTTTTTAAATTTTTTATTCCTACCCTTTTCATATTTCAAATTTTTTTCATTGGAGTCTAAATTATGGTTCTGATTTTTTTTATCGTGGTACTTTCCAATATGTGCTCAAACGTTATTAGACACTCGATGAAAACGGAAGCACATATCTATATTTCACTTTTTTATTAAAAGTATTAATACATTATTTTCAACAACTACTGTGCTATTTTTTATTGCCTCAGATGCTTTACATTTAAATAATTGTATTATATAAAATTACTTTCTTTTGAAGTGTTTCAGTTAAGTAATACTTTAATCTTAATAAATGTTGTCTAGATGTTTTCAAAGTTGTGTTTTTATTCTATGTCTTTGCTATAAAAGTAATAATTTAACCATACTTCAGTATTTTATATTCATAGTAAATATATTTATTTACAATCGCCTGAGATCTTCAAAAACGACGTTTTCAACAAAAAATTAATATAAGTTACGAATTTTGTATTTAGATAGATAATTTTAGTAGAATTATAATTAAAAACTGTTGCATTTCCCCATGCAATGCAGCACGAAACAAATATTAAGGGAAAGCTATGCGGTAAAAGTAAAAATACTGCATTTACACGTGCATTTAACATTTAATAAATGAGTATCTCTTTAATTTGTATTGAAATTGAAGAAATGTAATTGAATATACTGTGTTAGCTGTAACCGTAATTACATCATTTTACTGCTTTCCAGAAACCTTGAAAAGCAGAAAATGCTAGAACTATCTCGCGCGGCCATTTGAAAGTTGTAAAAAGCCAGAGAGAGAACATCTCAGCTTAGCTTACGAGAGACAAAATTACCATCATCTTTGAAAATTCTGCCAATCGCGAATTAGCACTAGCTTTTCCCTCAAAAACGATTTTGAGTTCAGTACTTTTCAACAAAAGAAAGATTCTTCCCTCAAAATCGTCACCAGAGGCTTACCTGAAGCCTCGGATGTTGAAGAAATCCCTAAAGAACTTAGCAACGATGGATTTTCGGTCACAAAGTTACTCAGTTTGTCCGGAAAATTACTGGGACTGCTACGAATCTACCTTTTTTTTTTTTTTTTTTCTTTGTGTGTGTGTCTCTGACTCCAAATGATGCAGGTAGATCCAAATGATCTGTAAGAAGAAAAGAATTCTGAATCTAAATGTTACCATCCGCCGATTCAGAATTGAATCCGCTGCCAAAGATTTGGCGACGGACAGTTATTTTGAAACAATGCGCCGAAATTTCTTAAGTGTGGGCTTGACCATTTAACCTACTCTTGTAATTCATCGAAAGATGAAAAACCTACCTGTGTAAGGTGCAAAAAACCACATATTTCTTTTTATAGGGGTTGCGAATTTTATCCAAAAATTCGCAATCGTTCAACTGATGATAAGACCTCTTCCCGGCAACCGAAAGAAAATAAGACGATCGTCGAAAAATCTATAAAACCTGTTCCTGATGTTTCTGAAGCTCAGGGGACTAAATACTGTAATTGTAAGAATTTGGACTTTGATAAATTTGCTGATGTGAAGTTTAAAACCTTTATGGACAATTTTGCTGGTTTCTTTGGCAAAATTTTACATTTTGCTAAGATATTTAGACTGGAGCTCTCAGGAAGATAAACTTCAGCAAGCCCTGCAGTTTATAGAATTATTTGAAAAGCTGAACATTTAATGTTATTCTATTTTCAGCTTCAATGAAAGTTGACTCTGTAAAACTTCTCCCTTGCTCACCAGATGGCAGCATGCCTTAGAAGAATGATGTACAATCAAGGCGCTTCACTGTAAAACTTCTCCCTTGCTCACCAGATGGCAGCATGCCTTAGAAGAATGATGTACGATCAAGGCGCTTCACTGTTTCTCGGCCTGTTTTGTTTTTAGCCACTTTTCTTTTCCTCGTATGACTGAACTTATTTTTCTGTCTGACTTCTTCATATTTTTGACTTTGTATCTTTAGATTATGTATTTCTTATACTTGCAGGTTGAACTGAGTCGGAACAAAACTAGTTAATTGCACTAGCTACTCACGGCATAATAAAGTCATGTCAATGTCATCTCAGTTCCCAGTTGTTTAGTTAGCTGCTGTTGTTATTGTTGCGAATTTAGTGTGAGATCGGATTAGCTTTCTCTTTGCATTGCGTTGTTTTTAACGTTTTTAGTAGTTTAAATTATAACTACTGATTATATTGCGTGATATTGTACGATATCTCTGAAGAAAAGTCCAGCGTTCTATTATATTTCTTTTGATAAGAATAAATTTTAGCAACCTTTTATCGGACTTGTGCATTCAATCTATTGCGAAACTGTACGCAAGCACCAATATATTATTTTCAACGACATCGCATCTTTTTAAAAATTTGAATATTTTTATGAATAACGACATTTTATAAGATGGCAGACGACTGTAAAAACCGCGCCGACAACTGAGCCAAAAAAAATCACCAAAAACCCGTGTACTCGTCAGCCAAAAGTAGCACCAACACCAGTTTAGAAGACATGGCTTCAAATCATGTAGCATTTGCATACTGTAATTTCGAAATTTTATAATTAATGAAACTTAATTTTATACTACTTTGAGGTCGACGATAAACGCACGACCCAAAAAGTATTTAGTAAAATTTAAATTTATAAGACCTTTTCCTTATGTGAAAGTGTTTTATACCACATAAATCTGACAGTTGTCAAAAATATAGAATATTTTACTTCATTTTAGATTGTTCAATAATGTATGCATTGTTAAGGAAATTAAAACAAGTATTCAAATGTCATCTTAAAACTTTGAATATTACAAACATTTTGCAAACAAGCAAAACTATTCAATAGCTGCATTTCACAGTCATAAGAAAACTGTATGCTCACCGTATATCCAGCTGTAACAACATCTGAAAAAAGAAAAAGAAAATTTAAGATATTTAGATATTGAATATTTTTGGCAAGATAAGAATTCTCTCTCATTTTTTTTTTTTTTTTTTTTTTTTTTTTTTTTTTTTTTTTTTTTTTTTTTTTTTTTTTTTTTTTTTTTTTGTTTTTTTTTTTTTTTTTTTTTTTTTTTTTTTTTTTTTTTTTTTTTTTTTTTTTTTTTTTTTTTTTTTTTTTTTTTTTTTTTTTTTTTTTTTTTTTTTTTTTTTTTTCGCTTTTTTTAAAACCTTGAGGTATGAATACGAAGCAATCGAATAAACAGCTGAAAGTTTAGTGTTAATATTATAATAATATATAAATTTATATATATTATTATAATATTAACACTGTTGAATTGAAGTTTATGATTCATGTGCGAAGAACATGGTATTTAATAAATAAAAATAATAGACGAAATGCTAAAAAATTCCCCTTTGGACGTAATATAAAATCTGAAAATCTTCAGATATTTTTTTATTTACTTTTTACACTTTTTGTGTAAAAAATTGATTGAATTTAAATGTAAATGTTCTACATTTAATATCTTACTTTATCTTACACTTTTTGTGCAGATTGAATTTACATTTAAATATTCTACACTTAATATCTTACTTTCTCTTGTTGAGACAATGACTTCTTTGCCAGATTCCTCTGCTATGATAGACTCTGCATGTGGTGCCACAGCTACTCTATACGTAGTACCCGGTTTCAGGTCTTCTATGACAGCAGAAGTGTCTTTTACAACTTTCTGATAAATTTCGATTTCTCTTTTCCGACGCTGAGTGGATGAAGTAGATTCCCACGTGACCATGAAGGACCTTTCCTTCCAGTTCGTGTCGGATACCATTGTCCATCCGATTTTCAGAGACGTCATCGTCACATCTTGTACCAAAATATCACCTATATCTCCTAAATCGACTAATAATGAAATAAGAAATAAGCTCCAAGTTATAAAACAATAGATAGAATTAAGTGGATTTTCTGATTACCATGAACAGAACTTAGCAAAATCAAACGAAGAAAATTCTATTTGAAGACATTGCTTACTTTTTCATATATGAAATTTCATTAGGGAAATGTTAATATACTTACTGAACAACAACATCAGAAGTTTTGCACTGACTCAATTTTCAGGACTTCAGATATAATATTTCTCGTTTAAGTTTTAACAATTAACCAGTCCTTGATTAAGATGTCAAAAAGCCCTAGGAAGAGCTTACATTCAAAAGGTCCTCAAACCAATATATATATATATATATATATATATATATAGATATAGATATAGATCAGGAAATTATTAACGAATAGAATTTTTTTTATTATCCTGGGAAATAAGAGGAAACTACACTCCTGGAAATTAAAATTGCAACAACATGAAGGAAAGCAAATAAAAAAAAATATTGCAGGTTAACAGCATGGCATGAAGAAAAAATGATTAAACTTGTAGGCATTTTGGAGGTTTACAGGGGTGCGAAATTAGTAGAAACAGCTGCCACCCTTGACATCTAAAATGGCCCTTACCTAATGAGGCATGGAGTTAAACTGGGCTTGGATGCCAGAAATAGGCAACTCATTCCATGCTCCTTCAAATCTATGCCACACTTCATCAACCGCGTTAGTTGGAAAGGGGAGGCGGGCCAGTCTCTTAGCAACCCATGACCAGATATTTTCAATGGGTGACAGATCTGGAGACCGTACAGGCCAGGGCAGCAATCGAATACCCTGTGTATCGAGGAAGGTCAGAACACGACGTGTAACATGTGGTCTTGCATCTTGTTGGGACATGGCGTTCAGGGGCCTCGAACATAAGGCACAACCACTGGTCGCAAGATGTCAGATATTTACCCATCTGGGATCAAATTACGTTCGATCCGAACTAGAGATGTGCGTGTCGTGTACCCAGTTGCTGCCCAAACCACCACTCCAGGTGCAGAGCCCCTATGCCAATATCGAATCCAAGCAGGCGATGTGCGGTCTCTTTGAACACTCCACGACCCTCATAATACTGCACATAGAACCGCGACTCATTTGAAAAGGCGACATTGTGCCACTCCTGTACCCAGCTTTGTCGTTCGGCGCACCAGAGTCGCCGTCTCTCTCTATGCTGCACTGTCAAAGGAAGCCGAAGTAATGATTACCCTGTTGATAGTCCACGCTGCTGCAAACGTCGATGCACCTTACGAGCGGATAGTGAGCGTGCTGCAAACATACCATTTCCTGACTAATGGTCCGTGATGTGGTCGTACGGTTTCGCAGGGCTGATTTGACAATATGTCTTACCTCTCTGGCGTAAGAGGGAGGGCGTTGAGAATTGACTTATTCAAATTGACAAAGGCGTTCAACTCTATGGGAGGGCGTTGACATCCTTCATGCCGTTCAGTATGACCCTCATCAATCCTTTGGTTCCATATTCGCATGACAGTGGTTAAATGTCGACCAGTACGACCGGCGATATCGCGGAACGATAATCTACACTTTCGATAGGCAACGATCCTGCCTCTATCGAATTTCGAAACTTGCTGGTAAGCATTTCTTCTTCTTATTCGAGGCATAAGACGATAGAAAACTCCAACCTTACAAAGCAGTTTCCGAATGAGAAATCCACTACACAACGTTCCTTAATGTAGAGCTTCAGATTCCGTTTCTCATTCCTGCGTCGTCTAAATGCTCTGAAATACTATTCACTTGCATATCCCAATTTCTTCTTACTTTCATGTGATTTTGACATTCGTGAGATCATTCCCTCCTGGTGTTGCATTTTGAATGGCCAGCAGTGTATTAACGAGTAGAGATATAGTGCATTATAGTCAGCACAGAATATGAATGAAAACAGCTATGGAAAATAATCTAATTATAACTTTTGAATGTAAAACTCTTGTTTTAATTAAATCGTTTTTCTTTCCTGTTGGTTTGATTCACTGTCACCATTTTAGGGCAAAATTGTAACATAATTTTAGGATAGAGTTTTAGTCCACATGTGTTGGAATAGATGAAGTAAGCATGACATCTCAAAAATGAAGCTAAGGAGGTGTCAACAACGTGACCTTACAACTTATCATGGCCGCCATACGTATTGTTCGCCATACATATTGCATTCATTATACATACTGGCCAAGAACATATTGTTCACTAAAATTACACTGAGAGCCAATATCAGTATCCGGAGGCTCAGACAAGTATCTTTAGGAACATAATTTACGTAAAATACCGTTGAAACTTTCACCGGTGGTTTACTTTTTACCATGTCATATAGTTACTATTTACATATCTTCATATACGAAGATTTTATTGTATTTGAAACAGTTATTGCAGTCCTTGTGGTTTTTATATGTACTAAGTAGAAAATTATTTACGTTAAGTATCAAAATTAGAACGGGAGACTTATAAACATTCAATGATGAAACATGTAGACAACACCGATTAGAATGTAAACAAAATCAACTAAAGCTCGCCTATGACAGCGGCCATGATTAATCGTGATGTCATACCATGACGTTTCATGCTTCATTTTCATCGCATGGGGCATACGGAGGAGGCTTACTTCATTTTTCAAAACTCCTTGTTTTAGGCTACTGACTGCTTCTAATTTAAATGAAAGCCACCGTTGTCACTCATAACAAAAGCGACTATTAGGAATTAATCATCGCCATTCGCACTTATTGTTGAAAATGTTAAGCGGAGGATTGTCTGGCGAAATGTTCAGGAATTCTGACCATTATGGATATGCAGTCCGTTGATTTGTTACTTAATCTAAAAATTCAATTCAAGCCAGATACTATCCTTTGCCTAATCGTATGTCAGTATTCTTTTTTGAAGTTAATTATCCGAAAGGAGAATAATTTGCGCCGAGGAATCCTTGAGAACTTAGCCATGTTCTTGCCCGGAATAGAACTGAAAGGCTTTGAATTAACAAATCAGTAACTTCATCGTTATATTAAAATGTCTTATTCTTTAAGTGCGTTCAGTTGAATTCTACCAACAGAGTAATTTTAATGTTTTGCTGCAATGCACTATATTTTAAATAAACAATTTAGTATTTTTATAGCTTCATTTTTAGGTATTTTGAAACTATACATATCATAACAGCCTTGCGTAATTAAATATTTAACTCTAAGCTAGTACTCAGATTTAGAATTATTACTTTGACGGTGAATACAGTGTCCGTGAGAAAAATTTGCACACATTTTTAACAGATAGTATTAGTTCTGAAGTTGAATTACATTTATTATATGTAGTATATATATACTATATGTGCTTTGGTTAACACATGTTAATACTCTCATGACTGTAATATGTGACGTGTGATGTATGATATTGAATCAAGTTGGTTTTAAGGGACCTTGAAAGACATCGAGCAGCGCTAGAAATCGGTTTTGTTGGAGGTTCTTTGTCAAGAAATTACAGCGGCATGTACGGGCACTGTGTCCAATGTTATTCAAGCAACTGGGCTGGCCGTTGTTTTGTATGTCTGTCAGCTAGTAGCCACCACTCTGGCATTTTGAACATTTTAAGTAACTATATAGGTATAGCTGCAGTCTGAATTAAGCAGTTAATTTAAGTATGCTTTTAAAAATGATGAATAAATGAGTGTAGCAGTTGGGTGCTTGAAAGGTATAACAGTAAATGAAAAGTAAAAATAAGAAATGTTATAGTATCTTACTTTTTGCAACGCTTTTGCAAGCGAAAGGCCTGGGTTCGTCACAGCAAGTACATTTGAGATCATCCAGTTCTCCATCTTCGGCCAGCTCGTAGGAACAACACATTACATCTGTAGTTTCGACTCCTGCACATTGCTCAACATCCCCTTTCACTGAAATAACACATCTAACGTTAATACCAGCTAATGCAGATAGTACTAATAATCGGTAAATGGTAGAAATAGCCTAGTTCCATTCTTTTTAGAAACTGACAAGTTTAGTTGTGAAAAAATGAGCAATTTGAAGTTTCTGTATTCCGAAATTAATTCCAATAAATATAATTATTATTGAAATTCAGAGAACAGTCTTACCAACTCATCGATGCCACTGTAATTTTCAAACATTTCTAGAATCAAGTTTAATCAATAGAAAAATCCAAGTACTACTGTACAAAGCTGTAATATTACACAACTTATATTTCACAGCAATGTCCAACAAAAAACGAATCGAATTTTATTAGCAATTTCAGAAGAAAAGTTAAAATATTTGGCTGAATAAAATTCTGTGATACTTAGAGAAAAAGATATGAATATGAACTTTACAGGATATAAAGACAATGTATTATACAATCAATACAAAAGGTCAGCAGAAGGAGATTTCCTGGAATACTATAAGAATAGGTATGTGGAATTTCCAATTCAATTTTACAACTGTACTAATATCCATACCCCGGCCTTATATATTTGTATGCCCAGCCTATACTATAACACTGAAATAGTAGTCTCACCATCATGTGCTTTCCCACCTAGTTGCAGTCCTTTTAATATTCCTAATTTTATATAGTCAAGTCCGGAGGACTATTGATTCTTTGAAGAGCTTTGGTTTTTAACATTTTTTAAAATTCTTTATTGCATTTATAGGATTATTTGAAATTTATTATTTATGAATTTCAATTTTTGATCTTTGTGAAAAATTAGTTCTAAATTCCTTATTTTATGTCTTTAGTTATATCATTCTCTAATCATTATTGATTTTGCGGAAAAAAGAAATTAATTCCGTTTGATAAGTCAGCTTTATTCTATAACATTAACAATAATTAAATTACTTTCTTTTTATTTTAACCTATTTTATTTTATTTTAATATGTACATAGTATCTTTGTACTTTAAGATTTTTGATTTCTCCAATTAAAAACTACCATTAGAAATTTTACATGTTATTTCAATTGTTTTAATCCTAGTTGTCTGGATTAAAATTTTATACGTTTAATTTACAGTTGTTTTTGCACTTCCTTTCCTGAGGTAATCATGAATAAAAAATTCATAAATAATATATATTTATATATTTTAACTAATATATGAAGAAATTCTTTGATTAAAATAATTCTTAGATGGTTTATCCGTAGCCCATGGTTTCAATTTAAGAAATATATGAAATACGTTTTCAGTCTGTTGTACCTTTTATAAATTTCAGTCTTTCTTTCTTTCTTTCCACCGACAGCGAGGCAGCCGGTCCACTGGGTAGTTAGCATATCGGCCAGATAGCCCCGCTGACGGAAATAACTTGAACAAAAGACACACTTATAAATACATATTGTGCTCAAGACGACTGCTGGGGGCAGTGCAAACAAATGCTGGACGAAGACGATAGTGCATGATGGAAGAAGGGTGCATTGCGGGCATGAAGAACAATTCCAGCTACATATTTACAGAGTAATGGATAGGTGGTTACAAATACTAAAAGTAATAAGAAGTAAAATACTAGAAAGTAAAACAATGCATAAAATAAATAAAAAGGGCAAAACAGTGGAAACAATACATAAAATAAGGCAAAATACATAGTTCAAGGTTCATAATTCAAGGTTTACATTTCAAGAAGATAAATATATACAGGGAATAAGAAAAGCCGAATAAGCTAACTTAAGATAAAATTAGTTCGCTACAGGTACAGAGCATACAGGGGCTGTGCTGGTAACGAGGATGGTGGCTGAGAATTACTCCAGCCTGTCTGAGATTATGCGTGCAATGTTTATGCAATCGCATATGCGTTTCAATGTATTGCGATTTTGTGAAGTAGCTTCGGCCCATGCATGGATGTGGTTTGCTACTCGTTGCCTAAGATGATATTTAGCGGTCTCTCTGCAAGCGAACAGATAGTGGTCCGGATCTCCTACCATCCCGCATGAGCAATGCTCGTTTTCGCGTCGTCTGAAGCGATGCAGGTAAGTCATGAAGGGACCATGTCCTGTTAGATACTGATGAAGTGAGACGAGCCAGATTTTTAGAAGCCGGCAGACTTTTGGAAAAAAATCTGTAAACTCTTCTGCCGGTGGTTTCTGTCTCCCACAGATGTTGCCAACGTTTGAGTAATTCTCTCTCGAGCTCAGCTTTTAAGAACGAACCCGGGAGAGGCACGTCAAGTGTGCGAACGTGGGGGTCAGTTGCTGCTCTTTTGGCTATTGCATCTGCAATTTCATTACCCAGTATTCCAGTGTGTGCAGGTACCCACTGGAGTTCAGGCCTATAGTATTTAGGTGTTCTTAGTAAGAGATTTTGTATGGCCCTGACGAGTGGATTTTTAATACATTTGCCTTGGATTGCCTGGAGGCTAGAGGCTGAGTCTGAATATATACTGGAATAGTTATTTTCCAGTGCGTAGACAAGTGCAGCTTTTAATGCAATCAGTTGCCTGAAAAACTGAGTTGTGGTGCTTAAGCTTTCTTTCCCAGGTCTTTAAGATCTGGTTCCCAAGTAGAACACAGTATCCGCTACCGGTGCCACATTCTCCTTTGGAACCATCGGTGTAGATTGCAGTGGCGTTGAACCACGTTGGTGACCTGCAGTTAATCGAGATATTGAATTCGGCCGGGTGGCAAGGTGGCTCGGGAATGCTTTGCTCATAGTCAGTATAAACATAAGTCCTATCCCATAAACTTATTGTTTCTTTGAGTCGGAGCACTCGCACTATTGCACTCTCGCGCTGAGCTAAGAGATGCACAGGCGGTAGTCCTGAAATCACGTTAAGAGCATTAGTGGGCGAGGTTTTATATCCTCGGGTAATGCTCAGGAGGAATGGTCTTTGTGCTGAGCGTAGCAGATTCTCCATTTTAGTAGTGATCGTTATGCCCCACATGGAGGCTCCATATAGTGCAATACGTTCAGTAACTACAGAGTACCACGTCCTTAAGCATCCCCGAAGAACTCCCCATGTTGGTGCTGCTGTTCTGAGCATGGAATGAAATATCCTGTGAAGTCGTGCCTTGACCTCCTTTAAATGTGGCATCCAAGTCAATGTGTCGTCAATTATAACTCCAAGGTACCTCAAGTTTCTGACTATTTTAATATTTTTCCTTGCCCCGTGCATCAACCATGAACCCCGTGCATCAACCATGAAGGTTGATGCACGGGGTTCTTCGATGGCGCTTACCTGGACAGATAAGCATACCTTGGGTTTTTGAGTTGGCAATAGTTAACTTATGGTCATTGGCCCATTTGGCCATCTTGTCCATTGCTTGTTGTGCCCTAGTCTCATATGCGTTGCAGCTGTGCCCTTTGGTTACCAGCAAAAAGTCATCGGCATAAGCCAGTATTTCTGTGTGAGGATCTGTGTTAAAGAGAGTCAGCGCTGTGTCCGCTACAAGATTCCAGAGCAGTGGACCCAGACAGGATCCTTGAGGACAGCCTCTATTGATGGAACGTGAGTGCACTCCTGCTTCCGTAGTGGCTTGTAAGCGGCGATCACTTAGGTAGCTGTAAATAAGGTCAAAGAGAATCTTAGGGCTACCCATGTCCTGTAACCTCTTCAGTACATCGGGCCACCACAACGAGTCGAAAGCGCCCTGTATATCCACAGAGATAATCAGACTATGTTGGTTATTTATTCTGTTATTTGCTATTAATTTTCGTAGGTGCTGCAGCGCGTGATCCACCGATCTGCCAGGAATGAAGCCGTATTGTTTTCATTTATGCTTTGTCCAGACAGGATATAGTGTTTAAGTCTTTGAAGGACGACTCTTTCTAGTACTTTACCCAAGGCAGGAAAAAGGCAAATAGGCCGGTAAGACGTTGGTACATTAGGGTCTTTTTTCGCTTTGAGGAAGAGCACCACCTCACCAAGTTTCGTGCCGGCTGGGAAATATTTGTTGCGCCAACACGCAGTGATGTAGGCACGCAGTAACTCTGGATGCATATAGTTAATGGCTTGCAGAATGCCATTATCTATCCCATCAGGACCTGGTGCTTTATTGGTGTTTAACGCTTTAACAATGTCGCTTATTTCTTTGGCATTAGGCAGTGGTTCAAAATCTGTTTTCTTGGTATTGTAATATTGCTCAAACGCTGGCTCTGATATTTCTTCTTTGTGCGGGATTATCTGTGTCTGCGTTATCAGGTCTAAAGATATTGTCCAGAATGTGCGCAACTACTTCTGTGCTAGTTGCTGCTCCGTGGCTTATTGTGGCAGTAAGATTAGTAGGTGTAAACATCTTGTCATGTGCAATACGGAAGACAGTTCCGAACTTATTCGCAGTTTTTTGGTACAGTACTCTTTCCAGGATGAAAACTTCGCTTTTGCAATCTGTCTTTTGTAAGCAGCTCTTGTCTTTCGAAAAATTAGCGAGTGTGTCTCTCTTTCTAAGGGATCCTTGCATGCTTGCATTTTGCGCCTTAGGGCACGGACTTTGCTGCGTTCAGCAGTCAGCGTGGTGCTCCACCAAGGAGTGCATTTCGGGGCTGTGTAATGTTTCCTTTTCAAGACTTTTTCGCACACTGAGAGCAGTGTTTGCATAAGATCTTCATGCATGGCGTCGATGTCTTTACTACTGTTGCAATTGTTACATTGTGCCACGAGACTTTCAATATGGGTTGAAAGTGCATCTTTAAATTTGTTCAGGGTTATATACTTTCGTTTTCCATCTGTTCTTTGTATATAAATTGGTGCTCTCCGAATCTATTCTGAACTCAATGTAGCGATGGTCACTGAACGAGGGAGTTTCGCTAACCTTCCAATTGTGAATATTATTAAGAATACCAGGTGGTGGCTAAAGTGATATCAGGCCACCCCTGAGCCCTGGTAGTCCAGTATGTAGGAGGGCTGTCGGTGGGGTTGACGACTGCAAGGTTATGAGAAGTGATGAAGTCAAGGACAGGGCAAGCACGCCTGCTTTCCTCTGGCGCACCCCATAGAGGGCTAGCAGCGTTAAAGTCCCCAGCGATTATCTTATTCCTAGTCGGAATCATCATGACTTGTTCCAGCTCCTGGAGTGACAATGTCGTGCGAAGGAGGAAAATACACGCTGGTGATGGCAATCTGACCATAAGGCCCTTCCAGTTGTACAGTAACTGTGTAATCTCCTTTATGCATTAGCAGGGGCGTGAGTGGACCATTGTAGGCGATGGCTGCTTGATTGCCTACTGAATGGTGAGTTTTGAAGTTGCTGAATCCTGTGATCCTGTTGTTAATGGAATGAAACTCTTGTAGTGCGGCTAGATCTACATTGTTTTCTAGAATAACCTGGGCTGCATGGACAGTTGCGGCTTGGCTGCGTTGCAAGTTGCTTTGAAGAACTGCAAAACCATGTACTGTTCTTGGATATGCAATAACCTGCTGTTCATCTACCACTGCGTCGTTGATTTCATTCTGAACAGTTCTGCCTTGTAGGCTTGACATTGTCTTGCACTAGACGGGTGTGTGGTGTCGAAGCTAGTGCCTTTGGATTTATTGTGAGTTGCGCAATTGACGCAGTGTGGAGTCTTTGCTTTGCAGTTATCCTGGCTATGAGCTTGTCCACAGTTTACACAGGCCAACGCTGCTTTACAAGAATGACTCAAGTGTCCCAGCCGCTGACAATTAAAACACCTTGCAACTTGAAAGTATTTTCTGAAAGCACAAGAGCTGAATCCAAGTCGCTCCTCATATTACTAAAGGCGTATTAAAAAAATACATATTATGTACAAACTCCTTTAAAAAACTATAAAACATTATATGGTTTAAATCATTTTCTTTTGATGAAAGGAAAGAACAAAAACGCTAGTTTCGCAGGCTGTAATAAAAACTGAATTAGGTTTGATCATTCTTTTTATTTTTAGCCCAAAGGGTGTTAGCCCAGAAGGGTTATTAATTTCGTTTTAGCATTTTGAGTTGGTTCACTATGAATTTCGGTTCACCTTTAAAATTGTTGCCACCAAATACTATCGCCCTGTGTTATATTTAAAGAAATTAAATAACGAAGAATCTGGATAAATTCATATATGTTTCTCGCACTGTGATAAAACAAACGGTACCTAGAGCCATCAAATATTGAATAACATAATCTTTCACCGAAAATGAGCATCTGGAAGTTATAATTTGGAATTTGTTTTATTATAGATTTCATATTTTGGTTTTGATTAACAAATTCAACGACTTCAAAGTGAGCAATGGCAACACTACCGGGGGGGGATTATCTCCAGCGCGCGAACTGTTTATCGGCAATTCTAAAAGATATGCTCATTTTAATTGTATTTTGTGATATTACTATTGAACTGAATTTTATGATTTAAGGCAAAGAACATGATATTTAATAAATAAAGGTAACACACAAAAAGTTAAAAAAATGTTCATATGGGCGTAATATAAAATCTGAAAACTTTCAGATTTCTTAGAATTTTTGTGTAATTATTAGTATTATTAATTTTTATGGTTTTAAATGTGTTATTTTTTAATTTGTTATGTATTTGTTTCATATTATATTCCCTTTCATTCATATCATAATGAAAGGGAATTTAAATACATACTTTTGCATTCATGTTTTTCTGACATAAAAGATACCTTTCAGAAATTTCATTCTTAAATCTACGTATCTATCAATCATTGGAAGTATGCGTATACGTTCCCGAAGTATTTAATAACTTGAATAATTATGATTGAATGTGAATGATTTTTTTTTGTCTAATTCGGTTGCGAGTAATATTTTCTGATTCACATTTTTGCGCCTGCGAGGCACATACAGAAATTAATGTACTTTTGCTAAAAATTATCAAGGGACAAAAAAGGATTGTCATAAATAGCATTAATCAAATATGCATTAGCAAGCAAATGTCATTACCGAGATTTTGACTTTCAGCGTTGGATATGTCTACCCAAAATCTTTGATGCACGTGCGATACTAATTGGGCCTTGACGGGAGCAGTTAATTCTTTCTGCGTATTGTAATCCAAGAGCTCTCCATCGTCGTTTTTACAAATCTGAAATGCTTCTTTCCAGGTGGTTTTTTGCTCGGGAGTCCAAACGCATAAAAACCCATCCTGGACACGGTTCTCACCGCAGGAAGGATCTGCAAAATACACAGGAAGGATCACTAGATAATACATTAAAACTTGATTCACAGAAAAATCATCTATTATGATAATATCTTCCAATAAAACAATAGTTCTGTAATCTAGCCGTCAATCATCTTCCTCATAAAAATTTTCCAAAGGTTTAATAGTCGAGCTATTTTCTCTTATGTCAAAGTATAAAGTCTCGGTTTTTTTTTTTCATCAAATATATGAAATTTCTAAAGACTTTAAATGAATTATCACTGTATCTTGCAAAATACCACAGACACTGAGAAAGGCTATAAAGGAACCGTTTATTTAAGTCAGACAAAAGGTAACAGGACTCACCACTCGTGCTTACAGAAGCAAGAATTTATGGCTTAAGCCAAAAGTAAGGAAACGGACTTAATAAATGTAAGTTAGGCTAACGGATGCACAATTAGAGGACTCGCAAGTTGGCTCTGACGTAAAGTCGGAGTGACAAGCCTAATGGCGAGAATAAGGCAACGCCACAGAATACGGATGGTAAGAAAGAAGATGGCGAAACCCGCTCTCATTCTACCCTTTAAAACCTTCCTTTAAATACTATTTTTTTTCTACCTGATTTGAATACGCCCGGGGTAGAAATTTACATTATGGCAGGAAAATGGAAAACGAGAAGGACAGAAAAGCGAAAGAACTTAAAATAAATGCTTAATAAACCTAAACGAAACCTTAAAAAGGAAATTTGTGAAAATCCAGATTCTAGTATAACAGTTTTGAGTCACTGGAAAATCTGAAAGTTTCTTGTTTAAATAATACTAACACCTTCGTTTCGGTGGTCGTAAGAGGTCAAGGAACTTATTATAAGTCATGACAATTTAATTTAGCTTTAATTTTCTAATGAACCTGTGGTCAAAAGAGAAGAAATTAGCAAATTTACTGTGTGGAATTTTCTTAACAATCTCGCTTCAATCTCTAAGCTTTTATAGTATTTCACATGTATAGCTCATAGTTTGATTCTTTCTTTGAATAGATGTGTTCAAAAGTAGCAGCAGAATGGTACCACATAAAATTTTACATAATCAATATTACCACAAAGTTATGCAGCAGATGCTTAGTAAAATGTGTGTAAAATAAATAGAGATGATCAATAGAGTAAATGCCCTGTTTCTTCAACAAAATAGCATAACGGCGCAGAAATTAGTAATTTCAGGGCATGAGATTCTGCTACATCCTGACTTATTTAATCTTTAACTAGATTTTATACTTCTGAACCGCTGTGCTTGAAATAATCAATTATTCAAGTACTAAATAGAAATTAAGAATACTGCGGACTTCATAGAACTGAAAAATTTTAACTTTGTCATGCGCAGAAGTATTTTGAGACCTATGAGAAAAATTTAATTAATCTAGTTGTATTTGGACCAATTTATAAAGTGTAAAATATTTATATAAACCAAAGATGTTAAACCGGTGTAATATCTTGTTATTTAATAAATAACTATATTTCTTGTTGAAGTGGCAACGCCATATTTGTATTATGTAACCATCGCTCAGCAACGTGAGAAATTGTTTTAAGATTAGAATTCTGAAGTTTTTACCAGCTAGTAGTAGTATGAAAGTTTTGCCACTAAAGAATTTCATCAAATTATCTATCTCCGTGAACTAGAAATAAAATTTATGTTCTACTAAGAAGATTTCCTGTTTTGTCAATTACTGCAAAATACATTACACCAGCTTTTCTATGTGGTATTGCCTAAATGGTCAAACAATGACCAAGTTAGATTGCACGAATATATTGAATACATTTCTCAATCTTAAAGTAATGTTATAATAGGAAGCAGTAATATTGAATAATGAAGTAAATTCACTTACAAGCTGTGAAGGTTGCGTTGTAGTTAAAGGGCTTGCCCGTTTCTTTTGCAGGAGTCATAGTAACTGCATATTTTGTTCCAGGCTTCAGGCCAGTTATTTCTGTCTTTTCTACTGTACCTTTAACTTTTAAAGCAGCATTCTTCGTAGAGGTTTCAATCTCTTGCAAAGATATATCCACCTCTTCATTTCCTCTGCCTTTCTGAATGAGTCGTGGACTTGAAATGATAGCTATTCCGTTTGATTCTACTGTCACCAAAATGGCTGTTCTTGGATCTGAAAAGTATTGCTGTTGTAGTAAGAAGGTAATCAAGAAGAAAGTATTGCTTCTAATCAGGACAGAATATGCTTGTAATGAGATGTATGCAAATATGTCATAGAAGATATTTTAATATCTACCCTTTTAATTATCTTATCCTCCATTATTCTGATGCTTTTAAATCAATTAAACAGAAGTGGTTTTATTCTGCTCAAGTCTCCCAAGAATAAAGATGTTGAGAGATATTTGTATGAGAGATTTTGTATATGTGAGTTTTCATAACATTCAACGTAAACATAAACTAAAATCCAGTGCCTGTGATTCCACTCTATAAGAGAAAATTTTGTCACTTTTCTGTGATTCTCTAACTAAACTTTTGTTAAGTTTTCTAAAATTATCTGCCTTTATATTTCCCCTTCCATTTTTCTTTGAAGGAAGGGCGATGTATTTTATTGCATTATTCATTACACTATTTATTCTGTCTTATTATTGTACCTTTTACATCTTATTTTATTATTGTATTCCTAACATTATATTTTATTATTTTATTTTATTCCTTACATTTTTACCATTCTTACAGATTTGTTTTATTTTTCCTTAATTTTTTTTTTAATATTTTTTTCAATCATGTTAAATGTAACTCGGAAAAAAAATGCACTCATTATCAAAAATATCTGATGTGGACACAACATGACTTCCTTGTACGACCTATTAAATTGTACATATGTTTTGCTGCACTTCATTTAAACTTACTTCCTCGAATTTCAATAAAGATCAATTTCTTATTCAATCAATTCAGTTCTCACTTCGTGGCAAGGCAAGAAATACGTAAAAACTCAAAACATCTTCATTAAAAACTGTAAAATACAGAACAAATAAAAACCTAAAATAACCAAATACAGTTAAAACAGTTAAATAAATAATTTTTACAATTAAAAATAGAGTTTCTACGCAAAACAAGCAATTCGGCCAGCGGGCGAGAAACCAGATTTTTCGGTGCACAAATTTGAAGGTTTACTTTTGGTCCCACTCGGCAAAAAGACACTAAAAGTCAGAAGCTGACTTAATTCAATATTCTGCTGTGTTTCAGATGTAAACAAACGGCGGTTCTTTAGGCTTTGCAGCACTTAAACTTTTTAAATTGTTGACAGTTCCATAACTATTACACGCAGATTGATTTAAGGCATAAAAACCTTCACGGGAACATAAGAACAACATAATTCAATCAGTTGTAAAGCAAACAAATGCAGAATTTACCAATATATTAGAATAAAACCTGAACTTACCGGGTAACATAGTGGGGATATGGCGCGTTCGACTACAACCAAGAAGGAAGGAGCCTTAGTAGATGTTATATGTGCCCCATGTACGAAATTTCTAGGTTCTACGGTTACTCGTTTTTGAATTATGCGAGGTGCTACATACGTACGTACATACATACAAATGTCACGAAAACGTTTCTTTTGATTCCATTTTAAATGTATTTCATAATCCGTTTTCAAAGAAAAGAGTCCTTTATTCTGTCACGCAAAAACATCGTTCAAATGGATTGCACGGTCAAAATGGATATTTTCATTGAAATATGATACCCGAAATTTTTTGCAATTACGCTATTTCCTTTACTTCGTACAAAGAAGTAAAAATAATAATTCATTACAGTTGACGTTGAACTGAGTAAGCTACCTAAAAGGTTTACTTTGTATTTGATTACACTTTTGTAATATTCAGATCAGTAGCAGAAGGCAGTACATTTGCTGAATTTTGTTGCTAAAAATTGATACAAATGTGAAGTTCTGAATCTCAACTTCTTACTCAGAACACGTCACATGTATCCACCATTTTCTGAATGAAGCCTTGGAAGCATAAACAAGAATTCCGAGTGTTTTGAGATACCACACATTACATCTATCATTCAAAAGTTTTGAGTTAGTAAAGTTACACTACACCCCTTAATTTTTCGAAACAGCTCACTTTCTATAGACAATAAGTTGCTTATTTACGAGACTGTTTTGCGAATAAGTTGCTTATTTACAAAATTGTTTTGCGTCCCATTCTATGCTATGCCTGCCCGGTCTGGGCGTATTCTTGTAAAACTTCTAGAAAAAACCTACAACAGGTGCAAAACCTCATCTTGAGGCAAATTACAAATGCACTTGGTATTTACGTAACCGGAAAATACATGAACTTAATATAGTTAAGGCATTATTACTACCGGCTGGCCCGGAAATTTTACGATAATCTCAGTAGCATAAACAACCCAGTTATTCGGCTGTATAATTATGATGTAAATAATGTAATTAATAATAAGAGGCCAATGGTCATTCTCAGTAATAATATTGATTAAATCTTTTCTCTGTATGTGAATATATGCACTCTTGTTGTATTGTATCTATGCATTTTTTCTCAAAGCACCGTGGGTTTCCTACTTGCTATTTTGTCTTATGTTATGTCTAGATGCTAAGTGTCATTACAGGTTCGTCACCAGCTCTTCCCGTATTAGTTTTTCCAGTTTGCTCTTTTTTCTTATCTATGAACATCTGATATTCGGTACACCCTAGTTTTTTCTTTTAATATCAATACCTAACTTTCCTTAATACAGGAACTAATTTTAAAATTAATTATATAAAAAAAATTAATTACATGTAAATGTGTACACTCATGTTATGTCTATGTGTAAGTTGTATCTTGACATTATTCGCAACTACTTATTGTTCTACATCAGGTAGGGTTCTCGTTTAACCCAGGCACCCTGGTAATACACCATTTCTTCCGTATCGTATTTTGAGATAATTTACATCTAAATTCATTTGTTAGCTCCTAACATTTTAAAAATAATTTCCGCTATCTCGAGTATTTTTTTAAATAAAAATAAGTTTTGATAAAATTCAGTATCGAGATAAACATGTGTTTTATTTTAAGCTACGACATCTGATGCTTCAGCTAAGCTATGCAAGATGAAGAAAAGTTTCTAACCATTCAACTTTCAATATCATCCTCATTTCAATTTGGCTTTCCATATCATCGTCAAAAATCGCTTCACTGTGTTATACTGAGCAAATAATGATGAAACGAAAAGCCATAACTCTACTTATAAGAATGTTACAAAAAACCAAGATGTTTCAGAAGTGTTTAGTATATATAGCGAATACAAAATGTAAATGACAACAGATGTATTTGCGAAATGCCTCAAGAAAGTCAAAAGAAATATGTTGCATAAAATTCATGTTTTTTCATGTTATACTACTTGATACTTACGATTTTAAAAATGAAATAGTTCAACTTATTCTGAAATATGGATGATGTTTTAAGAAATTTGGATGATAAAATGTAATGATGTGTAAAGCAGGAGCCCAATGGAGCACACAGGTAAAACTGGGCAAAGCAATGGAAAAGTGTGTAAAGAAATCTATGCATCTCATCCTAAAGTAAAGTTCCGATTATACATTTTTCGCCATATATGTATCCGTTCTCACTGGTTCCTTGAAAGATGTATTAACTGCTCTTTAGTGTATTTCTTCTCTTCATATATATGCAGTTTTCAAATGCATTGTGTCATATACTGGGTCACAAAGAATTATTTCAAAAGAAATTCAGTTCAAATAAATGAAACCAAATTCTCAAAACAATTATATTAATAAATAAAATACACAGTTCGAATGAATAAACAGGAATAATTTTGAGAATAATTATTTGAAAAAAAATATAATTCAACCATACTCAAACAATTAAAATGAAATTTTAAAAAATGTTAAAAAATAGCATCTGCGATTTAAAAATATAATATAAAGTAAAACCATATGCAGGAACGAAGAAACGATATTTTTTTTCGTTCATACAGAAAAAAAGGCAACGTGAAATAGATTGCCATAAATTGAAAAGTTCTCCAAGTGAATTAGTCATGGCACAAATTAAAAACGTACGTTAAGCTAAATTGTCAAATTATTCCTTAAATGTCTTGCCAAAAGTTTCAAAATTTGGCATTTAGGCATAACTTTAGTCGTAGAGTCGAAATATGGGAAATATTCGGCAATTTCAGAAAAAGTCTTATTTTGCTCCAAAATAAGTACGTTAGAAGAATGCTATTTCAAAACATGAAACGCTCAAGTTGAATTTCGTCAATCGGTTGGGTAGAACAAAAAGTGTTACAGCCGTCAGTTATTTATTTATTTATTTAGTGTGTGTGTGTGTGCTTAGCTAAATTGGTCTATTTGTAAACACTAAGCTTCAATAATTATCATAGATAATGGAAAGAACTAAGATCAGGAATATCATTTCCTAAGCTTGTAGTCATTAGGTTTTTAATTTGTAACAGCAGACATGAAAAATGAGCAATGCCGTCACCGGGATCCGAACTGCAGACCTTCCGATGGCTAGTCGAATTGCCAGTTATACCATGATGGTCTTGCGGTAAGGAAGGAGGAAAACCTTCCAAGCTAATTTAACAAACAATAATGATCTGCAGATTTTAAAACCCAAAAACGTACATAAACTCCAAGACATGTCTCCAAAATAGAGGTTTAGATCAGTAATTTGCATTAAAGCAACTATTTGGGATAATACTATTTTACATAATTCTTCTTCGAAAGCTATCATAAATGATATCAGAATATAGTGACAAAAGCTAATTTACAGAGACTTTGCTTACTAATTCAAACTAATTTGCTTACCTAAAGTTTGAATTAAAATCATGGAACTCTGTCCTTTTAATTGCTTGGATCCAAAAGGCGTGATAGTTATTTCGTAATCAGTGCCAAATTCCAGGCCTTCGAAAGCAACTTCCAAACCTTCCACTGTTTTCGCAATTACTTCGGATGTCTCATCTTCTGAAACGCACTGAGCTTCATACCTTTGGATGTTCCAAGAAATATCTTCTGGAGCAGACCATTCTACTTGTATCGACGTATTTCCGATGAAGGATGGTAGAAGGTTTGACACTTGCCCTAAATTAGCTGAGAGATTAAAAAATAGACGTTTTAGGTTTAATTTTTTTCTTAAATTCTTTCGAGGCACACGATGATCAAATAAAACAAATGATTAAAGAATAAGTTGATAAATTTTAAAATAGCAGCTTCATCTAAAAGATGGAAATGAAACTAAGTATACATTTTCTGTTTGAAAAAAAAATAATTCTAAATTGTCAATTCTAACTTTATTACTTTGATTATTTATGAAATCTTGTAAGGTATTTGAAATTACACTGAAAATTTTCAAGAACATGTGCAAAGTCATTTCGCTATTAGAAAGTAGAAAAGTGTCTACTGCGAAGAACAACAAACAGGATCAAACTTTCTGTACGGATGATGCGATTATTCACAAAAATTTAGAATTTCTCACCCCTTTTGCAAGAAATCCTTTATATCAAAAACCGTAGAGTACAGAAACTATTGTTGCGAGTTGTCATATAAACATCAAAGAAAGATAAAATTAATATTGTTCACAAAGCAAGGATATTAAAATCAAAATTTAATCGTTACTACGAGTACTCGTAGATATATTATATTCTCTGACTTAGGGAATAAAGGTAATGATGAATTATTACTTTAATTCAAAATTAAAAATCTCTATTTGATCAGTGTATTATTTTTATTTTACACACTCGCCTTTCGCAATGAAAGAAGGTTATAATAAACAAAACGAGGTCAGTTAGCTCTGCATATTTTCTGACTGTTAACAGAGTTTTGCGAGCGCTTCAGCGTTTACTCTAATATGCTAATATTCTGCTACTTAATGAACCATTGTCTACGTACATTTTGTGAACTTTCGCTTAGAGCAAGAAGAGAGTAAAAAATATAGTCCGTTTCCTAACCATTCTTTGTGTTTGTAGTATTTTTGTTATTTGAAACAGATAAGTGGTATTTCAACCAACACGGCAACAATACTAGGTACCTCAGCCAGATCTAAAATAATTCTGTCTGGAAATAATTGATTTTTTTCTGATTTAATTTTAAATTTAACTGCCATACATTTCTCCCGTGGTTTTGTTTATTTTTGAAGCTTAAATATTCCAATTTATAGTAACTCAAAGATTCAACATATCTTAGTCGGATACTTAAGCGGTTGTTACATTAAAACGATAGTAAACAAACTACAAGTTCCACATTAGTACTTTATGTAGCTGTTATTATCAGGGCTGGCTAATGTATGTGGTTTTATATTTCTTGTGATCTTCAATATTTTCATGGTTTCTAATTTATGTCAAACAATTTTACACTGCCTAACTAATCCTAAGGGTGCAATTATAAAGAAAATAAGAACCCATTTCAGTAATATTTCATATAAAATGAATTAAAAGAAGATTAGAGTTTACCTTTCACTTCATAAACACATATAACTGCTTGTTCTGTGTCACAACAAGAACATGTCACAGCTAAAATCTCCATATTATAAGAGCAACATCTGGCATCACTGTTACTTTTAGAACATGATTCATCAGTTTCTGCAATCAAAAGGAAGTTGATTCAGTTAGAAAAGATTTTAGAAGTATTATCTTTGATATAAAAACTGTCCGTTACGAACAAGGACGGAAAAGGCTATCATGAGCATATTTTGTAATAATTTGAAAGTATAACTTTCTCACAGTTAGCTTCTTTTATTTTATTTAGGTATCAAATTTGACATAGATTGATTCTAATTTATTTAGTAGTAAAATACTCAACAGTATGGCTACTACAGTAGTATATATTCAGCAGAAGAACTTAAAAAATTTAAATGTAGAGGTGTGACTTTTAAATTTAAATCTGAACTCGTAATTCAAGAATTTTATATATGTCTTTTTGCAACATATCCTGAAGAATTCATTTTTTCCTCGCATATTTTTCCATTATATTAAGTTTTCTAATATTTCGGAATGTTTAAAGAATATCAAATAGCAAGAATAACAACAAAAAGTTAAGCTACAGGTAGTGTAAATAGTATTAGAAGTAAAACCTTGAACAATTTTGCATGAAAGAAAGAAGATACTGATTTCCCATGAATGAATTTTATTACACAATGTGGGAAAGAAATAAAAGCCCATTGCTCACATTCTTCGCCTTGAAATATCCTATATTTGCTTTGCTTGCTAACTTTTGCTTGCCAAAACGTTTACTTAAAAACAGTACGAATTTTTTTTTAAGGATAAGATTTTTCATTTTAGATTATATTTCTTTATGATCAATGAAGTTTCGATTTAACACTTATGATCAACGTAATTTATTCTTAATTAATTACTACATACAGAATTGCGATTTAAATTCTACAGAACTTTAATTAAATTTGTTTCATTACCGGAACAGAATAAAACTGTCGAGGATTCATAAAATCCGCTACCAAAGATGCCAGAAAAATCTGATGCAATAACTGAAATCAAGCTTCTAGATGCAAATTTTCCTTTATATTCCATAAAAAAGGACTTTGAAAGAGAATTGATTTAAAATGCTTATTGAAGTAATAATATCAAAATCAAAGGCTTTTAGTAGAGACTAAAAATCGTTAATTTATATCTAAAAATTATAAATTTAACTATTTCTTTCTAGTACTCTGATGTTCCTCGCAGCATAGGACTGTTATTTTTATCAAATAATAAATAGAGTTATTTATAAACCAAAATTATCAGAGAAATATTCTTCTGGATTTTATTTAAAAAAATGTACGCAACTTTTCTAATACTTATTACTGTCATCAGATAGGCAGGAAAGCAAAAATAAATAATAACTTACTAATTCCAGACAAAGCATCTGAAGATGGTTTTTCAATCCAAAATCCTGAAGTGAGTTCTAAATTTTTAGCAACATTTTCTAACTCATAAACTGAATCAGGACTCCAGATGTTCATCTTTTCCCCATTGCAAAAAGCTTTGGCAGAATCAAAACTTTTGATATCAGGCTCTAAGCGGTAGCAGAGAATGCCCATCCGCAGGTCTTCTTGAATACAGGTGGGAACTAAAATGGGAGGTAAAAGCATTGATGAACCGAATTTGGATACAAAAGTCTATAAAAATGTATGATTATTATTTCTTTTTGTGTTATACTGAATATCTACTTTTTGTCTCCTTCAATTCCCTTGATTCAGCTACCAATTTTGTAGACATTGAGAAAATCAGCATGTATGTTAATATCAGTTTTAAAACGGTAACTGACGCTTTAACAAACTTTAAAGGCGAACTATTCACTTTCTCTTCTCTGTAGAAAATATTAGAAAACATTCTGTTTTTCTGAATATTAAAACGTAAAATAGAAAAACTAGACTCAAATGTTAATGCGATCGCGCCTATCGTCGGGAAGAGCCTTGAGTACCATATAGGTGATAGTACGACAATTGCTCAGTTTCTTCTCCAATTTTGAACAAGCGTTAACACATAAGTACCAATAATTCTTTTAGCAAATTAAAAATATCCGAGTCCTACCTGCATTGAAAGTCATTCTGTACTCCCAATCTCCTCCATCTTGCTGAACCAGCATTTCGTAACTCTCTTCTGGTATTAGTTTAGTTAGCTGCACTTCAGAAACATCTCCCAAGGCTGTCGCCACCGAAGTAGATGATTGATATATTATAACTTTGACAGGTTCACCTGCTTTTCCCAAAGCTACCATCATGGGTGTCTGCACTTTGATCACACCCTCAGAGGAAATAACGAATCGGACGGGAGACTTCGGATCTATAGAAAATATTTTTTATTCTTATATAAAATTATTCATGTGCATAAATACGAACTATAACAGACAATTAAGGAATGTAAGAATACAAGGAAATTTATATTATCACTATGGATGCAGATTCATTCAAAGTGTCTTCACTAAGCAAAATTCATTGAATATGTACTTTGTAAGATTCTGCTCACTGATTTAGTAAAGAAAGTACTCAATTATTTAAAGTATAGCGGAGCATTTATTTGACCAAGTTTATTGCTCACGAAGTTTGTAATAAACATTTCTGTCAGAGGACAATACTTTTTATTTTGTCAGGACAGTAAATCTAGTTACTGAAAATAATAACAATTCTAAAACATCTTAGTCTATTATAAAAGGCAGTAACGCTGATACATTAAACATCGAAAGTCTTTTACAATGCAAATTTTATTTGCTGCTTTCACATGTTAACATCGAGAAATTTAGCATATTTATAATCGATAAATAATGCAATTTTTGTTCGAATAATTGATCACAATAATTTCGAGAAAACATTTAAGGCTCCGTTGAGACGGTGGTATAAATTTCATATAGGCATAGTCATAAGGCATAAAATGCGGGAATTCCGTTCAAACCTGCGAGACGGTCTAAGCCGCAGCCAATTAGAGAAATTAAATTTGCACATACGTATATCCCGCTCAACAGGTTTCAAGAGTTCGCTCTGATTGGTGAACTTTTATACTAAGTCGGCATAGAGTTGAAAACTTGGATGTTTATGCTAAACTATCTAAACCAGATTTTGTTGCATCGCAAGGATTGGTTACCTAGCAACGAAGCTCAACTTAAACCAGTTATGAAATTTTTACCAGCGGTCTGAATGTCTGAAATTTGAATTTTTAACATGGTCTATTTTATGTTAAGATCATTGTCCATTACGCAAAATGCATTTGATATTTATGGTTTAAAAGATACGTAAAATAAATTATTAGTGTTACTTCAGTTTTTTTTAGAGGAAAATATCATTTAGAATTAAAATGCAGAGAGAATGCTTTGTTGAATTTTGACAGTTGGTTATAAATTCTTTAAAGGGTGGAAAAATCAAATAAATTTAGTTTGATTCTCCGTTGTCTTATATTTGAACTACAGTATAAGGCAACAGACACATGCATATAATAAAACAAAGTGTTATTAATGAATAATTAGCTTTTGTTTAGGATAAATGACTAAAATAATCAAAATGTGATGGACAATTAATCCTCACCAAAAAGCAAATAAGTAATGAACTGAATGAAAACAAAGGATTATGTTTATTTAAAAAATATTACGCTCGTCTTTTTAAGTGTAAGAAAACACAACTTACGTGAAACTTTTCACTTCTTATTATGTCGCACATTTTTTTTCTCTTTACTGTTATCCACGAAATATTTCTTCACACAAATAAAAGAAAATGAAACATTATTCAATGAGATAATTTAACTTACAAGTCATAACCGTAGTCTCTGCAACCGTTTTGGCATCCAAAGCCTCTAATAAAGCTTCAACTGTGACTTTGTATATCGTATATTCTTGTAAACCTTCAACAACAATCAGCTCGTCTTTGAGTTTGCGATTTTCATTGCAAGCTGGTTTAGAGTTTTCTGAGCATAAAAGGACATTGTAATATGTAGGTAACCAGTACTCTTCAGGCCTATTCCACAACACTTGTACAGAATCCCAAGCTTGAGCTTTTGCAGTCAGAAGAACGGGAACAGCAAGGATTTCTGTAATAGTAACATTAAATGCATAAATAAAAAATAATAAACAAAAATATTAACCATTAAACACATAATCGTCAATGGAAGTAGTTATATATTTTAAAATTATTTCTTAATATAATAATTCCATTTGTAATGTTATAGTAAGTTATAATGTAAGTAATGTTATAATTCTACCTGTAGTCTATAAGGATATGTAACGCCAATTACGTATATTGTATTGATCATAGCAGGTAAAAGTAAATCCCTTTTTCGAAATTCATACATTATACCCTATAGTACAACCTGCAGAAGCTTTTCATAATTTTCCTTCAGTTTGTAATGGCAACAGTGACTTTGGTATTCCTTCATATTGTTGCGTTCTACGGGTTCGTGGATTTGAAGTAATTGATTATAATACTTGAGGAAGAATCAAAACACAATTTATTCACTAGTAAACACTATTATACAGGACGGTTCCAAACACACGTTTACACTCATCGAAAAACTACGACAAACACGATGAAACAATCAGAAGCAAAGCCTTCAGGCTATAACGGTGAAGCTAGCTTCACGACAAAGCGCTAAAGTGCAACTTTCGACTCGACTTCCAATCGCTTAGCTAATCTCTGGATTCAAGACATTCTACTCTACACGTACAGGCAGGGTATATATAGCTTTAACCTACCTACATTGGAGAATATTCGGGAGATGTTCTCATCGCCAATTTTATCGCTAAATGAGTGATTTCGCAACAAATGTGGCAATCCTGACTTTTCTGTAAGCGGGGAAGCTATCTCACCATAGCTGGACATTTCGTAACAATATAGTTGTTAAAACCCTTTTAACTAGAACCAATATATAAAGTATTGTTAAGATATTTAACTCTGTTGTTTCCAACTACAAGTTAAAGAATAAGTCTTCATATGAGCAAAAAGAAATTGGAAGCTTATTTTAATCAGTAAAATCATACAGTGAAGCAGGTAGCTGTAAATAACGTATGGAGAATGCGAATATTAGGCAATAGGAAATATCATAAATCCCCGGTAACAATCAGACGGTAAACTCTGAAATGCATTTTAGCTAATGTTTTGAGCAGCAGTCTACCTGAAGTACTTGGATCGGAATCAGAATTAATTAACAACTAACTCGCTTTGTCTCTCGAAGCTATTATTGTATGATGTTGCATGGGCTTCTAGTAGAAGATTCGGGGGAAATCATTTCTAGAGCTTGGCAAATGCGTTTATCCAAAACTTTCAGAAACATGCCAAGTTTACCCCCAAATCGCCGAATGTTGCCAACTTGAAGATAAAAATGTTTGTTCACTAAGAACCTTTAAGAAAGTTTTTGTCCGTGTCTTGATTTCTAGTTGAACTATTTTAACAGTTAAAGAGCTAATGGTTTCTCCATTAGAATATCTACTATTCTGAGTAAGAAAGAAACGCTTATATGCAAAATGTTTTGGCAGTAATATCAATTGACCCAAAATAAACACTAAAACTATTACATTAAATGCAAAAATTAAACAAGAAACAATACACAGAATCCCCAAAACACACAACAAACAATAATAAAATGAAAAGAATTTAAACTCCACGTACTCTCGAGACTCTCCACGATACAACTCGCGATGCACTCGACAATACACTAAAGTACAGCTCTCGACTGGGTTCGGTAGTTCTCGGAGCTCAACATACTCTCAGATAAAACTCGACGATGCACTGACTCACGGTGCACTAAGAAACTCTGTGGATGCACTCGACGACCAACTCGGCCCTAGACTACGAGACACTCGCTCACTGACTCTTAACTGACTCGACTAGGCACTCACTGACTGATTAACAGTTCGATGGACTCGGCACTCCGCGTACCAGCAGGGTTTATATAGCTTTTGGCTTGGTTCGAGAACATTCTGGGCTAAACCAGTCAGAATTCGTTCCAGAAGGTTTTTCATCCGTCTATGGCATATCGCAGTCTGGCGATTTCTCGCCAAATATGGAAACCCTGCCTTACTTTGCTATTTTCTGGCAATCCTAAACCTGCTTTGAGGGAAAACTATCCCACCGCGCCTGGACATTCCGTAACAATATCAATCGCTGATTGTATGACTGGGTTTTTCTGAACAAAATCAGTTACTGTAGATATAAATAACGCTTATAATTTCGGATGACTGCTTTCATGTTATAAATGCGCTTCGACTTGACGATACAGCATTGTGGAGAAAATTAATGGTTAAATAAATTTTCGTAATCAGGTAGATAAGTCAGTTGAAATTTTCCTAATACGAACGGGATTCAAAAAGTAATTACAACTATCGCCATCTGGCATAAATGCGAAATAACAGTAGCGTATTGAATGATGAACGTATTGAATGTGGTCGTGAATATCATTCAATGAACGTATTGAATGATGTTCACGACCACGCCTTGGTACATTAACTGAAAACTTATTTCAAAGTTGAAGTACTAAGTGAAATGCAATTTTTGAGGGCAAAATATCTTATAATTGCATCTTGGCTTATAATAATCAAATATAATATACTTTTCGAATACCTTACGCCGGCGATCTCAAGCTAGTGGCACCCGAAGCATTTTATGCGGCATGCAAAGATGTTTCAGTTATACGTTGTTGCAAAGATTTCAAAATTTTAGTAGTTTGAAGTTCAAGTTTACATTACTTTCATTTCCATTGTAAATGAACATGCATAGAGCACCAGAAATCTATAAATAGAGCTGATTAATTTAAAAATGCAGTATAAATCATATTCAATGATTTGAAGATATTATTTGATTAACATTTATTTGTACTTGTGAAAAAGTTAAATGAGCTCCGTTGCGAACTTTTGCGTTAAGAGTAATCGCTTAGTCCGGGAACATAGTATTTATTCGCGAAAAAATTTTTTTTCACGGTTGAAAATTAATCTGAAATGAACCTGACTATTCGATAAGCACCTATAATCCGTGATGAAGATAATTTCTAATAATTTTTCTCCAAGGCAATCAAATAGGACAGAAACGCCATCAAGTGTTAAGCTGCAGTAAGAAACAGAGACACGTTTATTATTTGCACAAAAACGTATATTTTTATTTATGCGTCGAATAAATGTTTAATAAAAAATAGAAAAAGACTAGTCTGTCAGATTTTATTCTTAAGTTCTGTCCCACTTGGTAAATTTTCTCTGAAAACTTAGAAAGTTTGCATTATTTATGTAATTTTAGTTTAAATTAAAGTAAATTATTTAATGATTAATTAAAATTTATAACTATTTGAAAGAAATGTCAGTCTAAGAATTTAAGAATGAGTCATTAAATGAAAAATGAGCGATGCCCTCGTCGGGACTCGAACCTTAACCTCTCGAATACGCGCCGAGGGGCTCACCGATACACCACGAAGGCATGCAGACAGAAGAGGGAAAACACATTATAATATTAGTTCTCAATATATTTGAATTACAAATTGTAACCAACAAAAATGTCTATCGATACAAAATTTTAGATTTAAAACAGCTGCTTCTCAGTTGCATAGTTACTGTTGCTGCGAGTTGTAATTCCGCGTAACTGAGATAAATCTGAGTTAGCTTTCTCTTTAGATGCGTTTTGTTTTGCGTTGTAAACGTTCTTAGTAGTTTGAAGTGTTACCATTGATTATACTGTGTGATACTGTGAACACTTGTACGAATATTTCTGTGGAAAATTTCAGTGTTCTGAAGTATTTCTTTTAATATAAATAAATTTTATTAACCTATTATCGGACCCTACGCCCGCAACAATATGATTTAACATAGTTAATTTTATTGAACATAAAATTATGGATACAAATTAATTTGATTGTGTATTGGGGCGCGTATTTACCTCGTTGCCTTAGGTGAAAAAGTACCTAGGCACGGCTCTGCCTGTATCTATATGTACATAATTTTGCGCTAAAAATGAAAAGCATCACTGGTCCTTAGGTACCTTAGAAACATTGGAAGAAGTTCATTAGTCTCTGAACAGTTCCTGAGTCGTACAAAAGAGGAAATTATATTCTCTTCTTACTATTTTTAAGTGCACGCATAAGATATTAAAATAGTTGCTTAATTTTCGTTCAATGCTTTAATTGTATAATTTATCACTTTAAATATTATTTCTGTGAAGAGTTCATACCTCACTAATGCTGATAATATTCTAATTAGACAGCTATTTTCTATTTATATGCTCATCTTCTGAACATTTGAAAAATATTTATGTCTTTTTCCCTAAAAGTTCATTCATCTCTCTACGATCTCCTTCATTAAATTAGTAACTGCTATCTGGCTTCTACTCGATAAACTGATGTAAGAGATTTTAATATTATTATATGATTAAGAAGCCATCATCAACAAAAAGCAGCTGTCTACCTAGTTAATGAGAGCAGAAAATGGACATCAAATATTTAAATTTTTTCTGGTTTGGTCTTACCTTTAAAAGAATACTTGCATATATACGGATTCTCATCCTCACAATTTGTTCCAGCAAGTCGAAGTTTTCCAGCTTCATTCAAAGCCCTGCAACAAGACTCCGAAGATGATGTCACTCCCGAAGTCTTAGCCATGGGTAAATAAGTGATTTTCTGTCCATCTGTCCAGAATCCGGAACCTGTGAGAAGTAAATATGGTTTATCGATAAACATCTTGAAAAGATTTCTTGTTATAGTGTTTAGATTCATCATGTGCATTTCATTATGAAAGATCCCACGGCCACCAGCGATATTATCTGCCTACTGCTTCAACTCTCACTCCAAATCTGAGTCACCAATACTACTTTTTCCCGTATTAAAAAATTAAAAATAGAAAACGAGCGTCCTGGCATTCGATAGATAATTTATGCTGCGCATATTGAATCAAATCACAAGAATGCATTTTAATTTGCAAGATTATATTTTAACTAATGGCTGTATTAGATTACATATGCTAAACTCTAAACTATTATATTACTTTAACTACACATTTTTAATAACTTATCTTATTTAATTAAAATAACATTTTCGCTCCTCTCTAATTAGATATTTATTTAAAATAGGAGAAGAAATACTCCTCCAGAAGTTGCTATTTTACTACTGACATACAGTTGCCAGAAAAAATATCAAGGAAAGAAAGTTGTCTTATTTACCAAAATGAGATATAAATTTTATTGGGTATTTTTCTTTTGAATATTCATTCGCTAAACATTCTTCTAGGTTTCCTTATACATCATAAATGGGAATCTCTGTATTAGTGGGAAGGCTTAAACCTGAAATAACAGTTCGATTTTAGTCATGATCAATTGTTTGAATAAATTGTTTTCGAGTAGTTTAAAGTTTTTATTTAAAAATTTAATGATCATCCTCAAAGTTAAAGAAATCACAGCTGACGAGAAAAGAATTATCCTGAAACTTAGAAGCCAAAACTTACTGTCAAATTGGGACGCATTAGGAAGGACTCATTTTTCTGTCCAGTACGTCGTACGATCATTAAATTCCACTGGTTCTATTTCATCAAAGTCACATTCTATGCAATCTAGTAAACTGACCGTACGTCAAAAGCGAACTATTTTGCAGTCTTTGAAAAAGAATCTTAGAACAATTGCTTCCCAAATAAGTGAGAGTGTAAGATCATTATTTTATTCTAACCAATTATTTTTAGTTTCCCTTTCTTTCCCTCCTGATTACAGTTTCCTGCCGGAATGTAAATTTGTTACGACGTAGACACAAATCTAAACGTGTTTCAGAAGCTGCGTTTCAGGAATTTAAAAGAGTAATAGCGGACTTAGTTCTGACTTTATGCTGGGTGATTGAAATTAGCTTTTTAGGTGGTATTAGACACCTTTCAGTTTATACTGATATTTCTAGGCTCGGCTGAACGGGTTTAGTTAAGCTAAAAGAGCCAGTAGTTAAATATCTTTACTTATTAGTGATTTGTTACATTCTTATTTTCTGTTAAATTTACGTTAGCCGCAAGTGGTGGTGATTTGTGAAAAAGAAGTGCGTGCATATGTTTTAATTTAGTTTAAATAAAAAGGTTATTTAAACCTTTCTTCTGTGGTATTTATTCTTAAAGACATAGCGAGAATTCGCTACTCCTTCTTCAACATAGATTCCAAGTTGTATGCTACCAATAAGAATGAGATGACTCTATAAGAGCATCAAAATTTCTTTTGGGAACGGTGTCTATGAAGATACTATCATTAAATTTATAAAATTAATACCATATTAGCAAAAAATGGGTATCGTACACGTGTAACACGTAAAGAACTGGATGTCCATAGAAGATAGTAAGTGGATTTCGCTAATGAATAGGTGAATAACGATCATATATTTTGGAAAAGTTATTATTCTTAGTTATTAGTCTTATTCTTAGACGAAAACAAATTTTATACATTTGCAATCAACGGTAGAAAGCTAGTATGGCATAAAGCATACTGCGTTTGATAAAGAAAATCTTGTACGAACGGTCAAAAACGGTCATGGTCTGGGGAAATATAGGGCGAAAGAGGTGAGAAAACTCGTTTTTATAGAGTCCGCAGATCATTACGGTTATTTAGACATTTTAGAAACAAATTTGAAGCGAAGCGCCCAGCAATTGGAACTTGGTGGGGATTTCTGGCTTCAGCAGGATAACAATCTGAAGTATGCGGCTCAAGATGTGAAGTTTAGGCTGCCTGAGACACCAACTGCGTACACCCCTCTAATACTCATACCTCAATCCTATTGAGCATTTGTGAGATTTACTGGAGCGTAGGATCCGTCAGCAGCTTATAACCTCTAAATAAATGCTCAAAAATGTCATCATGAATGAATAGAGCAAAATGATCAAGGACGATACAACGAAGCTGGCTTAGTCTATGTCAATTCGATTTACTAAGGTTCTCAAAAGTTAGAGATTCCGCTTATATTTTAAAGAAAAAATTAATATTTTAAATTAATACTGCTGTTTACGGATACTTTTTCTGTTTCGTTTCAGTAAAGTTCCCCCCCTTTTTTTTGGCTTGTTTTAAAAACATTTTGTAATCTTACATGCATGAATAAATGTATTGAAAAATTAGTTAAAGGACTAATAACTAAGTATTGAAACAAAGGATAGTTTAAAAATGAAACAACTTGTTCCGTTCCAAATCGTAACTCTTATTTCAAATTCTTTATGTAAGCAGTGTTTCTTTTAACAATACTTAACTCAAAACTTTATTAAGATAAATATTTATTAATACACTATATACGAATTAATAAAAAATGAATCCAGATGTACATCTATAGATCAAAAGATATGGTTCAAAACCCCATTCCCGTCTAGTGTCTAACATCTATTGGAACTTCCTTTCTTTCAGGTCGGGCTCTACTACCGACATATGACATAAAATGTCGTTACAATGGTGTCATGCTGCTTACCACGTCTTAAATTAAAAGCTGTTAGTAGGCTTTTTATCATGCGGCTGCAAAATAATGATGAATAAGGGACACATAGCCATGCATGAGCTAAGGCTGCCCGAGCAGATAGAAAAATAAAAGATACATTTTTAACTATAAACTATTTGTTTTGTATTTCTGCAAGGTCCGCATGGCTGAGATATGTGCTTTAATTTTGTTTATCAATATTTTAAACCACATTTTACAGCTTTGATCAGTATTATTGTAAAATTAATTTGCTTTGAATTCGTACAGAATAAATTTAGGTAGATTGTTATGAAAAGAAGTAAAGTCAAGACTACACTATAAAAATTCCATCAGAATCACTTCGGTCATATACGTTTAAATAAAAGCATAACAAAAACAATACGAGTTTTAAATTTGCTGTAAAATTCATTTAAACAGATGTTAAATTCAGTAAATTACTCTGTATGCTCGTACATTTCCTGCTTTCATGTAATACCCACATGTTAATTTTTTTGGAAAGGAATGTTATGAAAAAATAAACCCATATAATCTTAGCGCACGAATTTTTGTTTATCAGCTTCTGTGTTACAGCCATGCGAAAAGTCACTTTCATTTTATACGTAATAAATGTACGTGTACTTATTTATACGTGTGATGATGAAAACAGTAAACTCTCTTTCAGATAATGTTTTTCAAAAATAATCGTTAAACCCTGCCGAGTACATATGCTTTCTAATAACCTCCAGAAATAAAGAACTCAAAGCCACCTCTTACGAAAATTTTGTAGAGACATTAGGTTATTTCGAAGCAGGAAAGATGGAAAATGAGCAATGCCCTCGCCGGGACTCGAACCACGGACCTTTCGAAAACGCGCCGAGCGTGCGCACCACTACACCACGAAGGCATATTAAGAAGGCGGGAGAAATACCTTGTAACTTCTTATAAAATTCTATAAAAATATTCAGTGTTTAAATGCTTTAATCATTTATAATTATGGCACAATATTTTATAAAGTAAGTCAGAGATCTTCGCTAGAATTATATAATGCTTTAGCTTCTGTAGAATTATGTAGTGATATGCATAGAATATTCTATAGAAATTTTCATAAAGATTCCATAAAATTTTTCTCAGAATTTGTAAAAGTCTCGCAAATAGAATCTTATATATGACGCGGAAAACAACTAACAGAATTCTATTTCAAATATTAAATTCAGTTTATCAAATTTTGACCATAAGTTTCAAAACTTATGGCCAAGTTTTTTGATTCTAAACAAGTTTCCTTGCTTTAATTTTATTTAAAAGATCCTATGGAAAATTAAGTACTTAAAATTATTACAAAATGTGAACAAATGTTTTAGAGGGATTAAAACGAATTAAATTTTCACTTTTAATAAAAATTTTTAATCTAAATTTTGAAATGGTCTGTGGAAGCAATGGTGATGGGGACACAAAAACTTTCGCGAACAAAGAGTAAAAAATATCGTTCAGTACCGTTTGGATTTAAAAAAATAATTAAATAAAAATAAATACATTTAAATAACTAAATTTAACTAATATTAGGAAACCCATTTTCTCTTATGGGGGTATATATCATATATATATATATATTAATTAAAAATATATATATATAATGATTAATTTCAGAAGTTCTATAAAAAACAGCAACACTTTCATTTTTTAACTACCTTGATGATAAACTGATTTTATTCTTTTACATATTGTATAAAAAATAGCACGAAATGTTAGAAACTAACAATCGTTAAGCTAGAGAAAACAAGGTTTCTATTCAAAAATGATCCAACGCTTCTAAATAAAAAGCATTCATTTATGTCGCTCTGTATCCCACGCAGTATATCAAAAACTAAAAATTTGCTTGAAAATTTTGCAGATATCTATAGAATATCATTTTACAAAAGCTTTATAAAATTTGTGTATGATTTTGTAATGAAGCATTTATTTAGAACTCTGTTTTGTGAGTTTTATAAAATTTCCTTAGAATTTTATAAAGAAGTATTTCTAGAGAGAATTACATATAAAGTTCCGTATAAATTCTTATAGAAATTTATGAGTTTTCATAAAAATGTTACATAAGGGACATAAGTACGTTTGTACGGAATTTTGAATTTGTTATATAAAGATTTCAATTACCCAGGTTTTTAGCTGTCATTTTTTTACATGTTTGTGTAGTTCATTAAGAGTACACTTCATCATACTCATTCCGGAATAAAATAACTGCAAGCAATGAATGGTCTGTGTCTTAGCCGTATTTGAAAATTTGCTTTAAAATTTTTTATATAAAAAATACAAATATTACATGAGCATTTACAATAAATCAAAAATATACAGCAACATAAAATTATATTTTCTAATTCATGATAATGAAGGAATTATATTTTTCATTAGCTTTTTTTCTTTTTTACATGTTAAAAAGGCAGCTTTATATAGTAGCCTCGTCTTCGGCTGGGATTTCAAAATCGAGGTTTCCTGTTCCGGTCAGGCTATTCCTATCATTGAGCTATTAAAGCCAGTTAGCTCCAGATAATTTATACTCAAGGAGTCACTTATGATGATGTAATCAAAGGTATATTAGCAATTTTACTTATATACCTACCGTAGGCTTTTCACAGTTGTACTAATGATATTCCGTTTCAGAATAATAACAAATTCGACGCCGTCAAAAGTCTAACGAAGTATCCTAACATCAACAAAAAAGTAGTAGCGATATTATTTCGATCGTCCGCGAATTATACTAAGTATGACAGTAAAAAAGAATTAGGTTGCAGGGATTCATTTAATTTATTGAAAGGTTTATTTTTATTTTAAATCATCTTTCCTTTGATTTTCATTTCCAACCCACGCTTCCTTGCCAGGATGTTAATAAGCTATCGCGCGTATATCCAGTTAACTAGTATTTAACGGTAGGTTTTGGAAGGTGTTTTTAAAGCGTAATATGCCTGTTTGAAGGCTACATATCTATTTTGAATTACCGGCGATTAGATTTCTCTGACGTTGAGCTCTCTTAGCCATTAAGCTTGTTTACGCTGACCTTTACGAGTCAGAGCCTTCTTTCGCGTTATACTTGTATTATCATGTGAGCTGTTAGGCGAAACTTCCCACATTTAATTTTAATATCATCGTTACCTATTTGATTTAAGCCAGAAATGTTTGCTTTTATGTATGCTCAAGTGTGGCCAACAGTAAATTTATATTGAGTTAATAAAGGTTTCTTTACACCCCCCCTTTTTTTTTTTTTTTTTGGACTTTGGGGTACTTAAGACCTGAGGATAATTCCTAACACAGTTTTCTAGGTCTCGTTAGTTCATGTTACCAAACAATAAGAGACGCTATACGGTATTGTCGGAAAATATGAAGTGCCCTTATGACAAAAAATTGCTAAATTACGAATACATGGGTAAAACTGTAATTCTAATACAGAATTTGTTCTGTATTCAGCAAAACTTGTATGACTCTAAATTACGTTCTTGTGTATTTTATCACTTCCGCGAGATATTTCATTACAACTATATTTCTTTAGTTAAGATTTACTTTTACTTTAGCATTGTCGTTAAGTTGCTAGCATCGAAAGCCTATTAAGTTAATTTTTATTTCTAGACTACAGAAAGGAACTATCATGTTTTTATTATAACTGTGAGCAGTGTTACGTAATAATTAAAAATAAAGGTCAATATACATAGCAACTCTGCTTCAAGTTTGGAGTCCATCCGAGGGCATAAGACAAGGAGTCCTTTCGTGCAAGATATACAGAAATTTCTTCTAAAGATCCCACCAAATGACAGACCTATCCTGATCTGGGTTCCAGCTCCTGTGGATATTACTGGCAACAATGACTCCCTTGAGAATTGCATCTTCGTAACATAATTTTAATAGCAAATCAAAGTGGTGGGGAGAGGCCTTACAAAAGTGGAGTACATTGAGCTGACAACTCGCATAGTTACCGGGAGTAGCAGATTAGTGTTGACTCTTGCAGTAATATCCAAGTAATTGAACAGTAACAAAGTAACATGTAACTTGTACAAGACAATGTTACATGTAACACATGTAATTTGTACAAGACAATGTTTGTAATTAACATATCTATGCTTACACGCAGGCCTTGTACGACTATGCAATATTTATATTTTTATACGAAAGAAATAATCCCTTCTGCCAAAGATGACTATTAACACTGTAAGAATTTTACAAGAAAGTCTGGTAACTGGTTATCTCAGGCGGCGCTCAGTATTACGCAATTCACATTTCGCATTCCCGTATTTGTTCCACGATGATATTTCTGCGCGACTTTAATGGATTTGAGAAGAAAGAAAAAATGTATTAAATATGCCGGCCTAAAATAGCTAAAAAAATGAAGAATATAAAGTGTATTGTGTACCCATGTTAGTTGGTCTCCTCGATACGTCTGCGCGTGAGCAAAAAAACACAATCGATTTAAAAGAACAAAAAATGGTAGTCAGTTTCGCCGAGATCTGTCGATTTATTTCATATTTTTGTAAGATTCTGTTACATCCTTTCGTTTTTAAATACTCAATGGCAAGAAGACTATCATAAAGCACATATTTCCTCCCGAAAAATATAAATATTTACAGTAAATAATAAGGAAAGAATCTGAGTCGCATGAGGGGGGAAGAAATTTTAGAAACATTCTACTCTTTCGTAAAATAGGAATCGAATTTTCCTCTCACCCTTCTAATTAGAGATCTGAGATCGGTGACTAAGTTGTGACTCACTGCATTGTAAATAGCATTCTTCTTGAAACATCTTCTATTCACAAAAAATATTGACTTGCCTGATTAAGAAAAGACACGCATTGCCCCTGCCCTAAAGATAATTTTCTCTTGTGGCTGCTTTCAAGAACAAAAATAAAAATGTGCTTGCATTTTTAATTTAAAAAGACAATTTAATTTTTGCATATATATTGAGAAAAAAACCGTTGAGCCTTGAAATACAAACCTTTCCGACCGATTTTAGCGCCTGTCCACACTTTGACATCTTTGTAAGGTAAGATTTGTAACAATATCTTCGCCTCGCTTTCGTCTAACACGCTTGTTAAATGGCCAGATCTTTCAAGACAGTCACTCTCCGCTTCAGCCCAATTCTTTCCGATGTTTTCGAATGTTTCATATAAGGTGTAAGATCCAGAAAACTGACGTTTGAAATAATCTGGAACATCTGTAAAATACATTATTTTTGGATGAATACAGAAAAACATAAAAATCTTAGGAGTAAAATTTCAGTAGTATTTCTCAAATGTTTCAGAATAGCATTCACTTAATAAGCAAGATTTTTCGGTAAGATAAAACCAATTGCTTTTATTTACTACTCTCTATGCCTCAAATTAGTTGCTACATTTGGATACTTTTGTACTGATTATTGATACTGAGGATTTTATGATTTCGTTTGAAAATTTTTCAGAAAATTCAGTGTGCCACGTTATCAATCAACAATATTTACTTACCAAGCATTTCCTCCTTAAATCAGTACCAAATTAGTTTAAAAAATCCAGGGTTCACACATCCTAAAGCCACGCCCCATTTTGTAAGGACACTTCATCAGTAATCGCATAAAACTATCTTCTAGCTAATGAAATGTGAATGATCTGTCTCGTGTATGCAAGCCAGTTTTCCTTAGAAAGTCCTCCACGAAGTAATCCCTTCTCTTAGCCAGACCTTAATCCCATAAACATGATCTTTCTGATATACTGGCGGTAGAGACCTTACAAAATAGGGGTGGCTTAAGAGCGTGCTAACCCTGTAAATTTGCTTCGAAAAAATTGTCCCAAATAAATGCTATATTTGTGAAAAGTAAAAACTGAGAATGAAGGCTTTGTATACAGCATTATATTCATTGTAATACATTGTATAATTCTGTTGTTGCTTATGCTCACTTGTCTGCCGTAGGCAGCCCAAGCCTACGAAATACCGGGTGGCAAGGAGCGCTAGAATACGGCTGCCGTTGGCAACAGCCTTGACACCATTTAGCTGATATTGCGATTTTGCTCATTTCGGCCCCAATTTTGATGGAGAGCACCCTTAGGGGAGGGGGACGGGTCAGATGGTCTCCCACCCCTCTTGTCTTCCACCAAACCACACGAGAGGCTTTCGGTTACCTGGGCCCTTCGGCACAGCAGTTAGCGACGCTAACGACTATACCAGTTCGGCGGCTTGGATAATTTTACTGGTGTCGATCTACTAAACTGCATCGAAAGTTATTTATGACTCCATCTACTTGAAATGTAGCAACTAATTTGGGACGGAGGAAGTATATCTTTTAGTATAATTTTACTTGAAATAATCATTAAGTCTCAGCTGTCTACAAGGAAAGCCAGAAATTAAACTCAAAAATTTTATGAAGCTGAATATCTTTTTTAATCATGGTGTATTAAAGAAACGCTGTAAAATATTAGTGAAGTCTTTTGAGTTTATTAAAATATGCAATTTTTAATAACAAAATATTGAGACGCATTTGTTTGAGTTAGACTGTAATATTTGTGCATCACCATTTCTTAGTCTTTTTCTCTCTGGGGAAATACTTATAGTCATAGATCGCGTTGATTACGCAATACTCTATGTTATTTGTGAGGAAATTCCTCCCTCTTCACCGGGTCCCTTTGTGGTCTACTTGGAAGCAAGTTCCAGGCTTTGGAAACTTCTAAATTACTCTACAAGTTGTTCCCGAACTAAAATGAGGTGAATGATAATTCGTCACCATCTGGATTCTGTCCACTCCAGTCCCATTTTAAGTGAAGGAGAAAGAAAGAAATTTCATCTTTCCTTAGCGTGTTTAATTGGAAACACGTCCGGCTAGCATCGAGCGATCCAGAGTTCGAATCCCAGCTAGAGCATTATTAATTTTTCATGTTTCCTGTTCCGAAACTAAATCTAATGACTCTTAACTTCTGCAACAGCTGTTGCATTCAACCGGTTTCATTCAATTATTTGTGATAAAAAAAAATGTCTCATTGAAGCAAATATTTAGCAACAGAATCCAGATCTGTACACTAATCATCAAGATAATGACAGAAATAAAACATAACTGATAAGGTAGTGAAAAATTATTAATGGAAATTTTTACAAAGCATTAATTAACATAAATTACAACGATGGCAGTTGATTATTTGCAAAATATTAATATTAAAACCAAATTTATATAAATTGGAAAGTTGTGGTTAAATCACCTCTTGTGGAACACTTGTTTTTTTTTTTTTTTTTTTTTTTTTTTTTTTTTTTTTTTTTGGTAAATGGTGTATGGTCATTTCGGATAGATAGTACACTTAACATCTTGATTTCATAGACTTTGGTAAAGTTATATTCAAGTCTCATGGAATTGCACGCCACTCTTCTAAAGGTGCATTTTTCAGCTCTCGGAGGATCCGGAGAGGAAATTGGCGGGCTAAAATTTGGGGACCTTAGGCATCCCACACGTGCTCAATCAGACTCAAGTCAGTCAAGTGGCCAATCCATTTGAGTGATATCTTTTGTTTACAAATATGCTTAATGAGACCGAGCATTGTCATTCATTATCAAAAAGGCTAGGCCAACGGCCCCCTAAACTGTTTAGGTTGGAATTCCACTACCTCGTACGAGCGGTTACAGAACCTCCTTGAAAGATATGCATCTTAGTGCGGCATCCTTGAAAGATATGCAGCTGATGCAGTTGCTGTCTTCTGATGCATTTTTCATGATTCCTCCCCAAACCATTAAATTGCGATTACGGAAACGAGATATTTCACGGACAAGGGAAGGCAAATTGCGTGTTTCTTCCTCCCTCCAGATTAAAACATGTCTAGAATCACTGTTCAGATTATATCTGGACTACTCAGTAAAATTGCTCGGACCCAGTTATCTTGACTCATTTGAGCATGACGACGGCACCAGTTTAAAGGGACCCGTGAGTAGAAAAAAAAAATTGGTTTTCTCGCATACAGTTCAACCTTGTTAAGCCTTCCTGCAGCGGTAGAGCAGCTAACTTGAGCTCCTATGATCTCTTGTATCCTATGATCTCTCTCCAAATCTCTTGTAGTCGCTTCGCGGATTCTTCGAGCCGACAATGACAGAAAACAGTCTTCTGATGCAGTGGTTTTTCTTAGTTGCTCTTGGCCACGTTCTCTACCAACTGATTCAATGCTTAAAAAGCGGCTCTGTACTCTTGATATTACACTTTGAGGGATATTCAAATCTTGCGCAACTTCCATTTGTGTTTGACCTCCCTCGATTCGCTACTTTTGACCATCACTTAAATGATACCTTTGAGCCATAACTGCTAAACACTGATCACCCTCAGAAACCACATGCACTTAAGACCGGAGTCTTAAAAAGTCTTAAGACCGGAATTCCAGCATGCGTCCATTACGCACCGCATTGTCAGTCACCGAATTTACATATTTCCGGTGCTAACGTACGCTCGGAAGTGAAATTTTGGGTTCAATTGTATTTAATTAACATAAATAATTACAGCATTTAGCATTCATTGCAATATTAACTTAGTATATTTTTCTCGTTATCCTTTAATTATGACGGCCATTGTATTTCAGTATTGTTCAAAATCACCTAAAAATCCATATACGCGGATATTTTATAACTATGTGGTTATGAATTTAATCTTTGCAGTGTCAAAAACTGATTATTGAGTGAAGAATCTGTCTTCATATAAACCGAATGAAAATGGCATTAGCATTCCAATTATGCTCTAAACATTTAAGCAGAAAGCGTCTGTAAAAATAAACTAAGAATTGTGTTCTAGATTTTTATTTAAATAATCAATCTAAACACTGCAGCAGTAGGAATCACACACTTCATGTACTGAAATAATTATATTTCTTTAGAGCTGCCTTATATTCTCCCTTACAGCAACTCAAGTTGCCTATAGAAATAGTATTTCAGAACTTTATTATTATGCTATTTATGAAATAAGAATATTAAAATTAAGAATACTTTTTACATATGCAATGTTTTAAAAAATAATATTTTACCGGATTCATACGTGCAGTGGATTTTTAAACTAGTTTCTGAAGCTTTGTAAATATATTTAAAATCAATCAAAAGAGTCAATGTATTCTAAAGTTACAGTTTTCAGTTTTACAAAAAGGAAGACTGAATTCGATCTGGCTTATCTTGCTGCTCTTTTTATTAATGTTCCTAAAACATTCTTTCTCGAACATCATTCTTAATATAATTTTTATTATCGCATTAAAAACATTTCTCTCGCTTATTTGGTTGCCCTTTTACTAGCTTTTTAAGTCTCTTGCTGAAAGTCACATTTAAAGTCTGTTTCATGACCTACAATCTGTTTTCATCTCTTTGAAACACTGCTGAAGTTCGTTTTTATCGTTTTACGATATGCGATATATTTTGACTTTATTCGTGTCATGTTCTACTTTTAGCTGAAAAACCAGGTATAAGTGCGAGTAAAAATGACAACTTGCCAGGAACAGGCTTGATAACAAAAATTAAATTTGTTTAAATATCTGCGTTCTTGCTTTTTTATCATATTTATCTGGATTGGCATTAACATCAAAACATCTTCCTAAAATTTAACCAGTTATATTAATTAATTAATTAATTAACCAATTTCATATTAATTAATTAATAGGAAATTTATACCTGTAGTAATTGAGATAGAACCACAAACGTAAAAAGTGTTGGCGAAATAGCACGTTAGTTCAAATGAGTACTTTTCTCTCATTGCCAAAGGTGTCAGTAGAAATTCTTCCTCAGTAACTTCGACAGTTTTTGTATCTTGATTTGCCCTCTGGTGAGTGATCGAATATTTACTTGCTTCTCTTATTTGTCCACTTGCGGATAAAGTTTTGGCATTTTCCCACTTCAGTTTTAAGAATCCGGAGCCAATCACATAGATTGACATAGGGACTGGTGTAAGAAGGGCGCCTGAAAATCAGTAACAGTGTTAAGAAATTGTTTATGACTTTCTAAGGAAAGAGAAGAAAAAAAATTAAGTTGGAAGATTTAAAATAATAGTGCTATCTATTACAACTAGCGTCTGAGTCCTGTTTATGTCTTTTTGGCACTTCTAGCGATCAATACAGTTGGTTCTTGTTCAAATTAAATATATTAATATTTAAATATATGCCCGTTAATTACTTCTGGTACAATTTGTTTCTCGTTAAGCAACTTAGCTATCATTATCCTAGAAATGGCACACTATGCGGTTTCTGTTACAATATTCTTCGGAAATCAACAAATAAACATATGACGAACCTAGCTGGACTACGTTACGTTGTCGAAGGACAGCTAAAACATATGTCGGCATCTTGTTCTTTAGCCTTTTCATAAAACTGAAAATTTAATAAAAAAAAAAAAAAAAAAAATTGTGATATTATTCCCTCCAAAAATTAGTAATTTTGTGCAACATTTATATTTCAGTGAATTTTTAATGTATAGCAACGTAATTAATAGAGGGTGTTTAAAATCCCATCCCGTATTAAATTAGTTAAGGAATAACTAGAAGTGTTAAAATTATATGAAAGAAATATCCGTTTAAGAATTTAATATTTAGCTATCAATATATTTGAATTACAAAATTTCTTGCTGGTATCAAACTTCACATTTGAGATAGAAAATAAATAATTTGAGTTTTTGCCTTTGTGACCTGATTATAGCTAGTTATGTTATATTTTCATAAATGCTTAGTGAGCGAAATAAAAAATTTGTTTAAAATATTTTTTACTTTGTTAATGAACTTTTTCATCAAAAAATTCGGGTTTGTCAATTGTTTTGAGATCACTTGTAAAGCCCGCATGCAATTTGAGTTTGAGAACACTGTTCTAATTGGTTGATTGTCTCACATTCAACAGCTTTTACATTAGAAATTTCAAATGCACTTATGGCAGCTTCTTCCACTGCAAGAATTCTGTGATATCTTCCTCTAAAACAACATCAGGTCTAAAAGCAGGCAGTGATCCACTCTCACACAATTCCTGTAAGGATCTTAAATTTGACTAACGTTTATTTTGTTTTAAAATTTTACTGTCCTCTCTTATTTTCCACTTCCGACCAGAATAAACGCTTTAAATTGTTTATGCAAACTGTACTTGCTAACGCTTAAGAATTTAAGTTGTGGCTTTTCGCCAAGAACGGAGTTAGATGGAGAGAAAGTAAGCCTCCTTGCTACTGTATTCCACGCGAGCTTTCAATCAGTTGCTGTCCGCCTTTAAGGCCAGATGTTTAGCCCTCTCGATATTTAAAACGTATTGTAGTTTTCCGCAGTTTGTGTTCTACATACGTAATAAACTAAAGGCCAACCTTAGTGTGAGGCATCTGTACAAAGTATTCAAAGTTAGCTCTTATTTAAATTTGGTTAGTTAGTAGCTCTTATATTTTTACGTTCAGACCACAAGTGGTTGGTTTTTGTATCCCGAAGTGCGGGAGCGTCTGTAATATCGTGGATAATAAAGGGTAGTTAAACTCTCTTCGCATCTTAGTCATCTATTTTACAATTCCACAGAACCATAGCTTCCAGTAAGCTCACTGTTCTCATTCAGGACGCATCATGTTCGCAAAGCAGATAAGAAGGAATAGTAGTCCTGATATTCCTACTGGATACTCTCGAATGTTGAGCTATTCGGCAGCTATCCACTCAGGAATCAGTCTGTGTGCAACCTTTGAGCAGCTACTCCGTTTCCGACCGCAGCTTCGGTCTTCGTGTAGTTATACATACCTCTCAAAATACTCACGGAAAATGATTATTTAATCCAGGGCACTATTTTCATCCACCAGCGCTCTCAGCTTCTACTTCAATGTCCTATTTCTGCATACACATTACGTTACAAATCTGCTTATTTCGATTCCTGCTACTTCCCTTATGCATTTGGAAAGTACTTTAAGACTCTCGATATAGACGTAGTTTGGAAAGTTTAGATATATATTGCTAGATATATTTACAGTTTTATGGATATATTTGATAGATGTGTTTTAGAATAACTTCTATCAACACTATACTCTCGATTATCCGGTTTCGGATTATCCGATTTGCGAATTATCCGTGCGTGGCGGTGCTTATGCCCGCATACTCAGCGCTATGCACGAGAGTATGTAAAAAAACAAATACGAAAAACCCGAGCATGCTCTAAAACCACTAAATTACGTCTTTAGGTTTAGTTTCAGCGATTTCTTAGCACATTTTTCTCTGCATATGCATAGTCGAAAGCTTTGAATGATCACTGGGAATTTTTTCTTTCGTACGTATTTGACATATTTATACGTAAATGTAGGTCGCGAAAACATCGAGGAATGGTCCGACTGCGATTCGACTGAATAGGACTTTCAGTGCCTGAGTGATGTGGATGTTATTGATATCACCGGAAGGGAAGAGGCAGAGAGTGATATTGAGAATACAAGCGAATAACAATTACATTACTCCCGAGACAGCAATGACATCTGTTGAAACTCTATTGGACTTCATCAACCAAAGGGGTTTCGAATACGGTGATAAAATAGCACTTCGAAAAATACGCCATGATATTAGACAAACATACAAACGCTTTTAAAAATAAAGTAAAATTACTAAAGTTTTTAAGAAATAATCATGTGCAATGTACATGAAAATTGATAGTTTGCACTATCCGTGTTTTTCAACTATCCATGACCAGCTTCACTGGCATTAGTCCGGATAATCGAGAGTACAGTGTATATGTACAGAGTGCATGCCGAATAAACCATTATTATTATTACGGCTCTTAAAATACCCTTTTGAACATTCACTTCTTACATAGGCAGCCCAATATTAAGTATAATTATTGATTTCAATATTAATTATCCCTTTGTATTTTTTTTTTTTTTTTTTTCATTAAGATGAACACTACATACTGAACCTGAACTAACAGTTTTGATTCCCACACTTGACCTGATGACTTGAGGACAGTATGGAGATGAGATGCCAAGGTTATGTTGCAAGGCAAATTTTATGTTAATTAACCCATTTTAGTAATATGAATCTGTACTATAACTTCTCTTTTTCGTTAGCCCCCACAAGGATGCAAACGAAGTGCGAATATTTAAGGCAAGAGCTTTAAATGTTTTATACAGAGCTACTGGCAACGACGCTCGCATGTTCTTTTCCCTCTACCAGCTCTGCTAAATTAGTATTCCAGTATTAACCGTTATGTTCTCGAAGTTTATTCGGTCCGATAAAAGTTTGAGCCAAACTTAGTTAGGCCAGATTATGTGGTCTCAGGCTACGCATCCATTTTAATTCGCAAATTCAATTTTTTATTATTTAAGACTATCACACAGACAGTTATAGTGGTTAGTGACGCTACAGTTATAGTGGTTAGTGAGTGGTTAGTGTCTATGCGGCAAGAGGGCATTCAAATACACGGCAGGTTAAAAGCCCTCAGGAGTGGTTGCTGGTAGAGTAACAAGGGTTGGAGATCCTCGGAACTCTTCCCAAGCTGTTCTTCATAATAATGTAGCGGAGTTTAACAGTTATTGAGATCCGGTGACACCTGATGACCTTTAAGGAATGCACAGGGGCCGGTCTTCCATCGACTTTTAGTTTTATCTAACAATTACTCGCAAGAGGCAGAGTTTGATTTTATACTACACATTCTGCGTTAAGTTAGAGTTTAAATAAAAGATTTAAATAAAAGCTTCAAGGTATTCGTAGGGCGTTTTTCACAGATACAGTCATAAGTCTAAATAGAGTCTGAAGAACTTTTAAATTTGAGTGTACATCATTTGACCCAAATGTTTAATGACGCGATTTAACTTCAGATAACAAAATGGCTGATCCCTGAATATTAACTTAGCAGAGATGAGAGCAGAGCGTTGCTTCTCAAACCCTATGTAAAAGAGTCAAAATTCTCGCCATAAACAGTCGCATTTCCTTCGTATCCTAGTGAGGGCTAACGAAAAGGAGAAACTATAGTACAAATCCAAATTATAAAAATATTAGTTAGCATGAAAATATACCTTACAAAGTTACGTTGTGACTTTGAGAGCGAATGAGAGAAACGGAAACACGTGCATTCTATCTGAAAAGAGGCTAGCAGGTATACGGCAATGCCTGTAGCTACTTAGCTATTGAAAATGATACATTTACATTCCATACTTCTCCTAATTTAGTAAAAGACTAAAATGGAATTAATTACCAAATTACTTATTAATGTTTTATGATACGAGTGTTATTCCAACGCCATTTATAGTTTTTCAATGCAATGATCAATTTGCGCAGCAAAAACGTAGGTCTTGCCATTCAAAAATGTGACTTTTTTACTGTAACCGTAATCTTGAAGGCTCTGTTGTTTTGAAGCATCACAATCTTAAGCTCATAACTTCAAATAACAAATTTTTTTCGAAATTTCATTTCGATTGATTGAGGGGATAGGCCACTAGGTTTATTAATCGTGGAATTTCTTTTATGACCACCTCGTATATGAGTTCATTATGTAAAAAATATAGTTTTCTTGCAAAATCCCTTCGAAAATGCGTGGCTGTCTTTAAATTGAAATCGCTTCATATTTGTACTACCATCAAACTTTCTATTTGTGTATGCGTATAATTTTTTTGTGCCGTGTTATGATTCCAGAAATTTGATAAACGTGCAGTCGAACCTATGTTTATGGATACTGTATTTTGGCGGAACCCCTCCTCCATTAGCAGACAATTGTTGAATTATCGAACCTTCGGACCAACGCTTTCCATATTATGGACAATCCATATTAATGGACAGGAATCTTTGTCGCATATCTTGTGATATTCATTAACAGGAAGTTACGTTACTGCTCAGGTTAAATGTTTTCTGTATGCAAATTAGAGATATTTAATTTTGTAATTAGGTAATCATGAAAATTACTTAAGGGAAAAAAACTAATAAACATTCTGAAAATTAATTATGTTGGAAGTTTTGTCAGTATATTCAGAGGAGTGTAAGATTTCGTTTCCTAAACTACTATACTGATATTTAGAAGAAATAGGCAGTTTATAAATAATTTATTTGAGACTTTTATCATCAAATAGTGAAAGAAATGTCAGAGAGCTTCGTGAAAATTTGGTAGCAAAATAATAGAAACTTAAATTTCAAAATCTTGAATCAGTTCATAAATTGTAGGAAGCGTAACTACTCACCATAACTGACAGCTTCCTCTTCAAACTGAACTGAAAAGAAAATGAAAAAAAAAATTGAATTGCTTGAATCTTTTCCATTTATACTATTTTTACTTTCACACTATTCTATATACTACATATAAAGAACGACATTATTGCCATTTTAATTTTTAGTCAATTCTATTTAATTAATTTTATTGACAATGCAATGTTTGAAATTAAAATCAAATTAATAAAATAGCTAATAATATTCCTTAATACATAACTGTAAAATTCTTTCATACAGTAGGATCTTTCTGTTATTCTCGATGTATCGAACACCAGGTAAAAAATACAAAAAAAATTCTTGCAATGTAATCTATCAAATTCAAGTTTAACACTTTTAAGGTGTCGTAAGCCTTACAAGTGTTAAGCTGGGAACCACAATCCTCAAAGCTTCAAGATTATTATTTCATAAAATCAAAAGAACCTTTTTACAACGAGAAATGTATATATTTTTAGGATTTTTTACTTATGTAAATAATTTTAGTAAAATTATATGTAAATCATAGTATATCTTGTATAAAGTAACAGGAAATGCCTCAAGAGAGCGCAGCTTTGCCGGAAAAATAAGATTACTGGTGCAGGTCCATTTAGGACGAAATAGCCCCAAGCTAGGCATAATTTAGCGAGAACTTTGCAAACGTCGTAAAATTCGGCGATTATTTGGCGCCATTTCGGACAGTTCCCTGTATAATTGTAATTTTTCTAATTCCTATGTAACTGTAATTGTATCCGGCCCTATATGAAACTGCAAATGTGTACGCCTTCCAGCAATTTCGAGAAATGAAAGGTACTAAAAATTTCTCGGTGGCTGGAGGGAAACTGTCTAAGACCGGAGAGAGCATCAGTTCTCAGTTTTTAGTTCAGAGTTGACCTCGGAATAATGATAGATCTTTGTGCGAGCTTCGCTCTTTAGATGCGCTTTGCATCGTGTTGTGTGTAACATTCTCAGTAGTTTGGAGTGGTAACTACTGATTATGCTTTGAAGTGGTAAGTACTGACAAGAGCTACACGAGTAATTTGGCGAAAGTTCGAGTATCTGAAGTGTTTCTTCTGAGAAAATAAATTTTAACAAGCTCTCATCGGTTCTGTGTACATTCAGCCTTTTACGAGCCCTAAAGCACATAACAATACGTATGATGACTAAATAAATAGGAATTCTCTGTTAGGAAATCTTGTGTTTGCTAAAATGCGAATTAACTGGAAAAATCATACAAATGTTCTGTTTCTTAAGCAAAACTATAACCGAACTTTAAATAAAACTAAACAGTAAGACCAAGGACTTTTCTAGTTTCATTTAAAAAAGAAAGAATAACATTTATGCTGCTATAAGTTGCTGTAGAATTTTTTGTTCTTAATATTAAATTATTTTATTTTTATACAGACAGTTACGTGTAGATAGAAGTCAGAAAACTTCAACCGATGCACTCAGCTTTAAATAAATCTTTCCTTTTAAATCCTATTAACGGTATTAAGATTTAGGAAGAGATAACTTTCACCAAATGTTAATATTCTATTTCCAGAAAGCAATCATTGCATGGGAATCGCAGTTCAAATAGCCGCTGACTATTGTCTCATTGCGTGAAGTCGCGAAATGTTATAATCGTCTCGGATTCTTTTTCCAGAGGCTGAAGAAGCCGTCTTCGACAATTGTGTTTTGCAATTTTTTACCTCATGCATGCCATAAAGATGGATCAGTTTCATTTGGAAAGTTATTCACAAAAGTATTTTTTTATTTAGAGACAGATAATCCTAATAATCAAATAATCAAATCGAAACATCAAATATTCTATTAACAATCGCATTACTCCCACTGAATTATTTGAAATAAAACTCTACGAAGAAATACATCGCTCTTAAATATTTCGCCTTTTATACTGCAGAATGCCATTTTAAATATATAAAAATTCAGTTTCATATTCACTTTGGTTTTATAGAAAATGTTCGTGTATTTAAAGAAGATTATTCCCGTTTCTTTTAAAATAAAAATAATGCCCTTATTATTTGTCAAAAGTACATCAATTTAACGAATGGAATAATTTAGTTCAATAAAAATAGAAGCCACGAAGGAATCATCCACTGAAGGAATACAAGTTGCTGGAATTATTACTTTCTGTACGTAACTGGCATATTTCATCATAATATTCATATTTCATCATAAACATCATATTTTTAGAATACATATGATAAATGGCTTATTTCACATGGATTGGCAATCGCACTTCCATTTTTTTTTCGGTAATGTTAGGTTAGGTTAGATTAAGTTATCTGAATATGGCAAAGCCACTAAGGTTGTAAGGATTTTAAGTTTTACTAACGTTTATTTTATTTTAAAACTTTATAGTCCCCTCTTGTTTTCCCCTTCCGGCCAGAATAAATGCGGTTAGTTTTAGTATGCAATTTGAGTTTGAAAACTGTTAAGGATTTAAGTTGTGGCTTTTAGCTAAGAAGGAGTTAGAGAGAGAGAGAGAGAGAGTTCTCGTCACTTTATTTCACGTGCGCTTTTCAGTCAGCTGCTGTCCGCCTTTAAGGCCAAAATTTAGTCCTCTTGATACTGAAGATGTATTGTAGTATTCCCGCCTTCTGCGCTCTGCATACGTAAAGATTAAAAGGCCAATATTAGCGTTACTAGTCTTTGTAAAGTATTTGAGTCTTAGTAAAGTATTTGAATTTTAGCTCTTATTTAAATTTAGTTAGTTTGTAATTCTTATTTTTTTTGCATTTCGGACCATAAGTACTGGTCTTTGTATCCTGAAGTGCGGAAGTAGTAGCTGTAAACTGTGAAGAATAAAGATTAGTTAAACCCTTCCCACTTGTGTTGTATCTTCTAATCACTTTTAGGAACATAGTTTGTAGTAACTCCTCGTTCTTACTCAGGACTCCAACATATTTTCCAAAGCAATTAGATGAAATAGTAGTCCTGATAAGATTATCTCTCTAAGAAGAGGGATGCCTTTTCATCGTGGAAGACTTTCTGACATAAACTGGCAAGTATTCCCGGTACTATGGGAAAAACCACAAAAATCAACCATGTAATCATTCCTTATCCTTGTGTCGAATCCAAACGAGGTCGAACTACAAGTATTTGCCACTCGGCCACTGGTACAGCAATTTTTATTCGATTGGATTTGAAAGTATCATTATTATTTTGAATGATTAATGTAAAATACATAGGTTTCTATATATTTTACTATAATTACTGTATATTTATAAGGCTTTCATATACTTTTGTGTCATATTAACTCGACTGCTCTTCAGACCCTAGCAGACTGACATGCGAGTTATCACCCCGTCTAATGTAAATTCACAAGTCCTATAGAGGTTTCAAATAACATTTTAATTTAAACTGAAATTAAACAGAAGGCTCCATATGTGCTTGCACACAAAGCTCCACCACCTGCGAGTAGTGAAGTAGCATAAAGTTGAATTTACGATTTAAAATTATCTTAGACTGAAACTCCACAGATTTGGGTTACTAAGCTGACTTATTTTGAAAGGTGCCATTTAACGTCGGCTAGTAAATGGCTAAAGCTAGAATGTTATAAGAAAGACATGGGCGAAGGAATGCATAGCTGCACGTGCCATTGCCAAAAGCTGTATCTCCAAAATATTCAAAAACTTCGCCTTAAATACTTTCAATATAATTTGCATCCTAGTGAAAGCTAATGGAAAAGAAAAGTTATAGTAAAGTTTCAAATCATAATATACATTACAAATATACCTCTTCTTAAATAAATTAAAGGAAAATTACAAGAGCCCTATTATTAAATTGTACATCGATTTCTTCAAAGGAATGTTGCGTTATTCTACGTTTTGATTTCCAAATAGTGGTGCTTGTATCATACTTTTAATTTTTCTCAAAGATGCAGGTAACCCCAATAAAGGTGACCCCAATGAAAGTAACTCAGACCTGCAAGATTAAGATAAAAAATGTTTTTATTTGTTGAATGGTAAGAATTTTATGAATGAATTAGAAAAATGTTCTTTCTTATTAATAACTGTAATTTAATTGATAAAATTCCTTTTTTTTCTAATCTTCATTTAATAGCTGAATAATGATGCTGTTGCTTGTAATCACTGATATTTCTAATTATGTGTGAAAATTTGAAATAATTATTGTTTTATACAAATATATTGAACCTGCACTTGCAATAAGATTGAAGAAAGACTCCTATCGCTTATAAAAACATATGTATTGATAATAAGAGCATTTATATGTCATATAATTTTTTGTAAATTACTTTTAACTTACTTATGACAAATTTATAAGTAAACTCCTCGGTTCTAATGTTAGGAGCAGGCCGAAGCAGCAATGAGTAAGTTACACCAGGTTTTAAGTCAATTATTTCAAAAACATTTTTCAGAGTCGAATAAGTCAGGATATCCTCTCTACCTTCTTCTGTCCATAATTTAGCTTGGAGTTCGTCTGTCTTCCAACCCTTACCTTCGTATCGCCATTTGATACTTGCTCTTACTCCATCTTCGGACGATTCAACAGCAGAAACTCGAATTCTAGCCCCTTCACCTGAAAAGAGAGGGAGAAAATATTTATTATCCTTGAATTCCACTGAAAACTTGTATGCTTAGATATGATTAATTCAAGTATAAAGTGATTGTTTATCAAGTAAACAGAAATTCGTCATATGTTTTATACAGTGTCAAACAAAATGAGCGATATTATGCATTTATTTTTAGAACAAATTTGAGGTGGACACCACATAACTTCCTTGTATGGCCTATTAAATTATAGACATTTTTTGATGAATTTTATTTAAACTGATTTCTTCGACTTTCATTAAAGATATATTTCTCATTCAATTAATTAGGTTCCCACTTCCGGGCAAAGCAAAAATACATAAAAACTCAAAACATGTTCATTAAAAATTGTAAAACACAGCACCAAATACAGTTAAAACATTAAAAAAAAAAAGAAAAAAAAAAGAAAGAAAGAAAGAAGAAAAAAAAAATTTTTTTTACAACTAAAATTGGAGTTCTCAAAAACAAGCAATTCGGCCAGCGACCAAGAAGGCAGATTTTTCGGTGCACAAAACTGAAAGTTTACTTTTTGTCCCACTCGGCAAAAAGACACTGAAGGTACAGAAACTGACTTAATTCACTATTCTACTGAGTTTCAATGTAAACAAATGCCTGTTCGTTAAGGCTTAACCCTCCACATTGTTGATAATTCTGCAGCAGTTGCATGCGTATTAAATAAAGGCATAACAACCTTACCCGAACATGGAAACTGCATAGTTCAATTAGTTTTAAAATAAAAAATGCAGAATTTACCAATATATAAGAATAAAAAACAGCTCACCAAGCCAAGTAACAGAGTGGGAATACATATACATATATCTATCTATATATAAGATTGGTGCAGTCGATTGCAACGAAAATGGGAGATGCACAAATACATGTCTTAGCAGTACCATATACAAAATTTCAACTTTCTACGGCTACTCGTTCTTGAGTTATGCGACAAAAATATATACGTATGTAAAACATTAAGAAAAAATCTCTTCTGAATCCATTTTACAATCCTTTTGGCAAACACTGTCCTTTATTCTGTCCATACGTACTGATGTCACGCAGACACATCGTTCAATTGGTTTTGACAGCTGTTGAAATGGATAGTTTCGTTGAAATATGATTGATTACCCAAAGTTTTTTGCGATTACAGTACTTCCTTTACTTCGTAACAAGAAGTAAAAAGGTACTGATAAGCAAAAAAAAAAGGACCCGCTACTACTGATCGTTTTTCGGAGGAAACCCTGCGAGGGCTGTTAGCTCATTTTAAGCCAGAGAAACTCAAAGAAGTCCTTGGAGAAAATGTGCCCATTCTAAAGCAGAAGCAGACCGACTGGCGAGATGTGGAACTTCTCCAAAGTGATGATGATCATGAGAAGAAAAAGTTGAAGTCTGATGGAGAATCTACAATGAAAGCTGTTGACTCTGATGCTGAATGGAAGCAGCCCAGGAATCCAGCCAAGCGGCCAGTTATTCCTGAACCTATGGATATTACTCAGATGAACAAATTCCAGAAACTGTTAGAAGGAGATGATGTGAACGGCGAGACAGGAGCTACTGCAGTGGAAATGCCCCCTCTCCTAATTTGCCCAGGTGAGGCTACTGATTGGATGGAAGGGGATAAAATTTTGCAGAAGCACTGTACAGAGTCGTACGAATCTAATGTGAAAAACAGGAATATTCATGTGTACATTAAGAACGTAAACGACTACAAAAATGCCTCAAAAGCATTAAGAGACAAGTCGATACCTTTCCAGATGTATCAACTTCAAAGTGAGAAGAATATTCGAGCGGTCCTAAAGAACTTACCCTTATCCATGAAAGAAGAAGCGATTCACAGCTATCTTGTGCGTAGAATGTTCCCTGTGGTTAAGGTCAAGCAATTCGTTAGATCCAGGAGAGGAGTAAAGGAAAGAATGCTCATATTCTTTTTCGAATTGAAGCGGAATGCCGAGTGCAACCAGATATTTCACCTCAACAACATGTTTAGTTTCGAAGTTCGCGTCGAAAAATACAGTCCCAGGAAACGGCCAGCTCAGTGCTTTCGCTACCAGTCGTACGAGCACTTGCAGCATTTTTGTAATAACCCAGAAAGGTGTGTTAAGTGCGGAGGCTTGCATCGCACTAATATGTGTCCCAAGAAATAAGAGAACAAGCCCTGCTGTATTTTTTTGCGGTGGGGAACATGTCAGTAGCTTCCGTGGTTGTGAAATCTATAAAGCAAAGTATGAGCAGAGAAAGCAAAGTATGAGCAGAGAAATCAACAGAAGACACAGCCGTCACCAGCCCCAGAAGCGTCACTTGAAAATTTCCTGGAACTTTCAGAAGTTAAAAAACGGCCGGTGCAAGAATCCAGTGGATCGAGATATACTGATAAGCCAAAGGAAATCCCAGATCTACCCCCAGTACTATAGAGGAGATCCTCTCGTGGATATTGTGTCCTAAGGTTCAAGAACTCTTAAAAACTGTTTTTTAAATCTTCAGGTACTTGCAGAATACAAATTTCATGAATAAAGCGAAATCTAACCTACAAGCCATCCAGAAATTATTGGATTGTGCGGCAAAGGACTAAATCCTGAGGTAAAGACAGTTATTTTCTTGTCACTCGCCTGCTCCACGCCTTTCGGGCTAACAGCTTTTCTGTTCTTTTAGTAACTTTACTATTAATTTTTTTCCTCCATAAGGCTATCTCTTAATTTCCCTTAAAACTGTCCTTGTAGTCAAAATTTCACTTAGTTATTTAAAGCAAATTGTTATAAATGTCTGCAAATTACTGTGTTTATAATTTGCAATAGCATATATTTGTTCTACGCGGGGTAGGGCTTCAGCCCAGCCACCCGGGTGTCTTAAGCACCGTTCTACGGGAGGTCTGTACTGATAAAATGACATATGCTTAGAGTAGAGATCCAAAACATCCATTCTCAGCTTCAAAGCACGGGAACGCCTACGTAACTGTTTAAAATCGGGCTAAAAATTACATTAAATTAGAGCATATTTTCAACAATTCTATCGACTTCGAGATCTATCTGGCACTGAACGTTCCTTCTTCTTCAAGAGGAAAGCATTTTTGTCTAGAAATAAATATACGCTGATACCAATGTACAATGGATATAGCAAACAAAGATGGAATGTAGCGTCACAGTAATGAAATGTAAAAGACTTAAGAAGTTGGAAGTGTTGAGAAGAATTAGATTGGCATCAGTGTTATTAATTAAAGATGATAAGCTTCTGTAAATGTGAAAGGCTTCAGGCAAATACAAATCACCAACTGTTGAAGCTGTTTCAATAACTTTCGCCCATCTCAAAACATTTGGTAACTAGTTAGTAGATCAGATACATTTGGTAACGTCAATCACATTTTAGCTCGAGGGCCACTGCATAATTATTTAGATTTGAGAAGCATGAAACTTAAACAATCGACTTTGTCCTCATCGTGATCGAGCTATAGATCTTCCAATTGCTAGCTGAACCTGTAAACCACTTATATTACAGGGAGATATATTGGGGAACGCAATAACTCTTTTTGCTGTTCAGACGGAACAGTGGTTATTGAAGTTGACTATCGTACCGAAGGGCCCGGGTTCAAATCCCGGAGAAAGCTTGGGTGTTTGTAAATGTATAGTGTATATGGGGCATGGGAGCACTCTAAATATGAGACAAACGAGCCGAAAGTGCTCTCGAAAGGTTTATGGTAGGGAAAGAAGAGCAGCAGACCCTCGAACCCGTCTTCCCGTAATGCTCTCCATCAAAATTGGGGGCAGAACTGAACAAAGTCGTATTGTCACCTGTAAGGTAACCAAGGCTCTTTCCAAAAGGTAATCAAGCTTCTTTCCAAAAAGCGTAATCTTGCACTTCTTGCCAAGATGAATTTCTTCAGCTTGTTCTGATGTTACTGTTAGACAAATGAGATAGTCACAACAACAAAAATAATTTTTTCTAAAGTGACTAGCTATGATTAACTGTTGAAAAACTGTTTATTTTTTCTTTTTGAGCATAGGACTCGTATTACTTAGTAACATTAACATTCCTTTTCGTTTGACTAATATATGTGAAACTACAAGACATAAAGACAAGAAATTTTATGAATTCTCCAACAATTAGAATCAGAGATGGGACCTTTAAAAATTAAAAAAAACTGATTTTATCGTTATGTGAAAATATTAATCGGAAAATTTATCTTGTAGAGGATTCGTGACATTTTCTAAATCATAGGTAGATAAAAATGGAATGACAACAATGCTTTCGTAAGTGTTCTTTTTTTATGGTGGAATGTTTTATGATAACAGGACGGAAACTTTTAAGAGCTTTATCGATAACCGTGGGAGGAAATCTTCTGGAAGTGGCAGCCGATTTCAGATAACCGAGCTTATGATTTTAAAGAAAAAAACCTTGACAGCCACTTACACGCATTTTTGTAACGATTTTGATTTTTAATAATTGAATTTAAATTTAGTTTTAAAATACAAACGTGACTGGCATCAAATTGGAATAAGATTTAATTATCGTCTGCAGGATTAAAAATATTATTTTCTTTAAAATGTCGCTGAAGAATAAACAATGGGTCGAAGTCTGTATTTTTGCGCTCTTCGAAGATAAATACTCTTATTCAATTATTAAAAAAAGATCTGAAAAGCACGTTTTAATATTTCTATACATGAAATAAGTGACATAACTAATATGAAAAGAAAGAAACGTCAAAGTTTATATCTGACTGTGAAAAATGCAAAAGATGTATACGAAACAAAGGTACGTAAGATCTTATTAAATCCAAAGTCGCATTTCATGTTTTAACGAAAAATACAGCCCTTCAAAGAGCTATTGAAAAATTTTTAAATACCTTTGTAGGAACTGTGAACAAAATTATAAAATTTGATTTAAAGCTAATCAAAACAAAACCAAAAAAAATGATGTTCATCGTCTAATGCCGAAACATGTTTCTCAGCGTAAGACTATGTGCAGATTGTTGTATGAAAATTATTTGGCAGGTGAAATTAGAAA